TTTATACTATTAAAGATATTCTACTCTCTTAATCTAAAGAAATAAGATCTAAAACTTTTTCGCAAAATATCCAAACAAAAATCATACTCAAAACTACATGTAACATTTCATACACATACAATAAAAAACTACATTCTAAAATAGCTGAGCATTCCTGTTTTTAGGAATCAATATATGTTTTACATAAATAATTTAATATAGATGTAGGTGACATTTATGAGTAAAATAACTGACATAATGTTCTAGTTGAAAGGTCTTATTCTTTCAATATACAAAAGAGTAAATTCATTGCATTTAAAGCTTTACAACATTAAATATAAATTTGCCCGTATATTAACAAACTGCTTCAAGATAAATGAAGTCATTAATTACTTCAAGATGTAGGCCATTATAGTTCCAGATTTCAGTAGGTAAAAGAATACCTCGTTTTCTAAACACCTTTATTTTTGTTTTGGTTTATTTTAAGGCTACTGTTGTTACAGTATGATAACAAAAAATCTAATAGTTTATGTTTTTCCGGACTTTTGCCAAGTATTGCCATATCGTGTGCAAAAAAAATAAAAGTATTAGAATAAAAGAATCCTATATCAAACCTGAGTCGGTATTGTTTTGAAGATACAATCCAATATCTTCTACGAAAATTGTAAATAATAGAGGGAACATCACCTCCCTAAATATTCAGAACAACTTGAAAAATCTTTAATACAGGACTTAATTTTCTGGTACATATCGCGAACAATTCATAACAATTTACCCTGTATTCCAAAATTATACATTTTTACCATAAACCAATTCTATCAATAGAATCAAAACACTTGATCAAAGCAACAAATGTATTACATAATCTTTATATTTTCATTTAAACATCTTTCAACTAATGACATAAGTACAAATATAGCATCTTCAGTTGACCTTCTTTCACGCAATCCGAATTGAGCATCCGAAATAGTGTCATGTTCGTTAACAACTGTCCTAAATCGATTATTAATTTCACTTGTAAATAATTTCGACAAACCACTAACAACTATTTAACGTTATTGTGGCAATTATTTTTGTGTAAATACTTATATTTTATTACATGAAAATATTCAACTTCATCAAATATATATAAATGCAAGACTTAAATCTCAATCCAGTGACCCCAAACTCCATTAAAACATAAAGGACCACCTTAGGTATGTTCTTTATAAATAAGACATTTGCAAAAAATACAAAGTATTATAAAAAGTGGAAAATCTATTGTTAGCACAAGTGACATTGACCTTGTGACTACCAGCACTGGACCAATGTATGAAAAAAATCTGTATAAGCCAATGTATAAAAATCTATTTTTGGCACGCTTCCCCAATCCAAAGGAAGAAGAATATGCAAGATGTCTTGCCGCTACACGACACTTCTTTTTTCGAACAATACTTTCAGAAAATGACTTATTTTCACACAAACTTATTCTTATATTATAATTTGTATTTGAGTGATTGAACATCTAAAAGATTACGAATATATATTACGCACATATCAAATCAATCAGCATACTTATCAAAACTTTCTTGAACAAAGAACATTTTTAAACTGACATGTATTTTAAAATAATAGGCCACTAACATTGCGAAACTCATCTGTTAAACTATTAAGTGCATTTTGGTAGACTGTCGACTGCTATGGTCTGATTTATTAACAATATGATTAAATAAAGGTAAATTAGCAATGACTTCTGAGCTAAACTGTTGTTTATATACATCATTCCATTTATATTAATTCTGTAAACATGGTATTTTTATCAGGTGTATATTGATGTTCGATATTTTCAATTGTAAGGGGATTCATTTATAATATATACCAAAGTCATTGGTCAGTGAAAAGTTGCGTTCGTTACAAATGAATAGTCTATAACAGATAACAGATGTCCCCGTTTGCGGAATAAACGTATGAAGAATAGTATTCCCGATACGACATGATAATTAACAATGATCTAAAAAAAAACTTATTCCATGGCTGTCGTGTTTACAACCTAACGAGGCCTTGGATGAACTATTATCTGGGTCACAATCCATGTCATCAACGCATCATTTATTGTTACATTTATTACAAGTAGATTTTTTGATGCTAAAGCATCAAGTCGCCGGATAGAGAAATGATTGTATTATCATAAAGATCATAAGAAAATATCAGTTTAATGGTTCTAGTGTAAAGAAAAGAGGAACAATATGTTTAGTACTGTTTGCCACCGAGGCTTTAAACATAAACTGTTGTATCATACATTGAAATCCGTATGGTTTACAAGTTCAGAATCCGATAATTACCGACAAATATTTACCGATCATCGAATATTTGCAAAGTGACTATGAAAATATATATGTTTTTATTATTGCATGAAACAATGCAATTCTACTGTAAAAGTGTTGTCCATCATTATTATGCGCTATCGATATAATTTATTTGAAATTCCCATCGTTACATACGATATAATTAACGTTTAATTGTCTGTCAGTGCGATAAACTATCAACACAACGATAGTTTTTTTCCTATATATCTAATACGATTCCGGACCCCTACCGTCATACCGTTTTCGAAACCTGCGCGACGGAAACCGACGGAATATAACGAAATCAACGATTTCAAAATATGTGCCCCCTAAGCATTAAATTATTTTGTGATGTTCAACCTAAACTAAACTATTGAACGTTCTTGTCAAAAGTTTAACAGAAAGAGCCAAGTTTAACCCTTTACCAAGAAAAAGGAAAAAGTTTTGAAAATCTATTTTTAATGTGTAAAAAATGAGTATACAGGTTTTTCTAATGATATAAAATATAAAACTTATTAATGAAAAATAACTTTGTTATTAATTATACAAAATTACAATGATTTACATCTTATCAGCCGCCATACCTTTTGCCAACCATTAACAAGTTACCTGTCTGTCTTATCTGCAATCTGTTACTCTTAATATATTTTATAAAGATAACATACAACGTGTAGTCACGTGATTCTTACAAAAGAACAGGGAAAATTTGTTAATAATTAGATAAGATAATGAAATATAATAGGTCTCATTAAATATAAATAACCAAATAATTTAAAATGTCATTTCAAATATCATTCATGATTTATATATCATAAAATAGCAACGCTTGACACATAGTAAAAAGTAAAAATATCCCTAAATTCAAAGACTGATCCTTAGGGATACATTATTGATATATTTTATGAAAATTGTAATGTTGCTTTTTAAGATGTCAATATGTGTATATTTCATTTCATTGAGCAAAGCTACCATATGTTTGAATTTTTGAGATTACTGAAAAATAATTATGGTCTTTAATTTATCATTATTGAAATTCTTTTATTTTAAGATTTTAAGGGCTTCTCCTACCATAGGTATAATATTAAACTGTAACAAATATAGTCGCCGGTTTTTACCGGCGACTAATAATCAAGTCATGTGTATTTCCCACTCTGCTATTGAAATCTCAAAGAATGTACAGGGCACCTAAATTGTCGTATATAATGTATCATTTTCAAACAAATCAAGGAAATCAACATTTTAAGTTTAAATTTAACTATCATTTATTAGCTCGCGGACTTGGAAAATATTAAATTTGGCAACATAAGTCTGACCGCTAGTGCGGTTTTTCTGTACATAAGTAAAATGAGGTTGTTCCTCGTTGACTAAGATTTGAGATAGGACGAAGGAAAGTATGGTGAATATTGTAAGACGACAAAATTCTCCGGCTTCAAAAATTGCTTCACACAATCATATGTATGTGATTTAACGTTATCATGAAGCAGGCGAACATGCACAGGGCCTTCGTTTGTAATGTGTTTGAGCTGTTTTAATATAACATCATTCATTTTTCCACCTGACACGTTATGAGACCAATAAATATACCCTAATTCAGTAAAAATATGTTTTACCTAATGACCGAGTTTTGTGCGAACTTTTATATAAAACTGTAATTCCTTCAATATTCTCAACCATGTTTACAATAGTGATCAAAAACTGGCTCTATAAGAATTTCGATAACTTTAAAACTGTGTTTAGCTGAAGGCTCGTGTTTATATAATTGGAACGGTATTTACTAGAGCCTTTCTGATCAGGCGTAAAAACAAACAACCACGAAATTGCGCGCAGTTTTCACGCGCTGTGCTAAAACACACATAACATATCGAACAACCATTACAGTGTTTCCAAACGCAATTAAGCCAGTACTCAGCTATGAGTTTATTGTTTTCAGAACCCTTTACAAGTATTGTACAAAAACATGCTATAGAAATGAATGTTGTCCTGGCTATTATGGAAGTAGATGTAACAGTCGTAAGTTGTTAAAATTGTTATGTATATGTATATACTATGATATATCATCTCGAATTTGTAATGGTTTAAGCGATTTCATAATGATTATAGTTATGTAGTTATGATAGGCAAAGCTAATTGTACGAAAATGTGTTTTACACAAAATCAGTCAGTCACCTATAAGTTGTCAGTCAATTATATATTTATATTTTAAATTATATACCAGCCTAGTCACGTTTTGTTATATTTATATAACTTCCTAGCCTTTTTTCACTGCCTTAAGTATGTAAAACCATTTCAAAAACTATGTTCATTGTCATTTTGAGATTAACCTTGTTAACTTCAAAACTATGATTGCATGCTTTATCATTTGTACAGCTTTGTGTTTTGGGTGGACATCTTGTCCTAATGGCGGTACTTGCAGCCATGTTGACTTGTGTAGCTGTCCAAGTGGCTTTTCATCACCCAAGTGCGATGGTAAATACAACACGATATAGACGCTTTTAAAAAGTGTTTATATATTACATATATCTAGCTATATTCATCTGACTATATTTCATAATAAATATAACACGCTTAAAAGAAAATCCGTATGGTAATTATATGTTTATGAAAATATCAAATATATGTAACTACGTTATATTAAGTGCGTTTGTGTAAATTATGATAGACATTGTAAAACACAACTGTTTTTTATATTGTTTGTCTATGATTGACTTTACTAAAAGCAACAACAGTAAATGCTTCGTGTCATTATGATATAGCAAATTTCACGGGAGTAAACTGTCAGATCCAGTCCAGATTACTCGTGTAAAAAGGCTATTAGACTGTTTTCTGTAAGTTCATTTAATAGTTCTTGGAAGATTCAAGAAGACAATAGGAACAATTCAACAACATATCCATTTCAGTTTAGTTTATTTGAGAACTTTGCTATTTCACTATCAACATTTTTGTAGAAAATCATATAAGTTAAATGTTGAAAAGGGAAGATTATTTTCAAGTTATAATCTATTATTTTTGTTCAAGATATTGACGAATGCAGCAGTGGCACACATGAATGTCAACATAATTGTGTTAATACTCATGGCTCTTACAGTTGTACATGCAGAGCTGGTTTTATTCTGAGTTGGGATCGCAAGTCTTGTTTAGGTATTTATCGTTGTTTGATGATGTTAACGCTCGTCTGTTAAGGTCAACGAATATTGCTAACCAATTTTGATTAAGATTCTAACTTAAAAAGGGGCATAACTCCAAAAATATATATTCAAAATTATGCCCTTTTCTAACATCCTTTTCTTGTCATAAAAAGCAATTGCTTCAAGTTTCCTGTTGATGGCTTTCAAGGTTTTTGATTAATTGGCTTCAGAAAAGTATTTGCACGACACAACAACAACGAAGCAGCGAACTTGAAAGCTCTAGTTTTTACTTTGAAACATACTAGCGGAAAATCATAAACTAATCATAGATGATATGAAGTTTATTTGGTTTACCCTATCGGTTTGACATATTTAAAATATTTTGGAATATCACACAAGTATGTTTTTGCTCGACGAACAGTTGCTCGTTATTTATCAGGTATTCTAACATAGTTTATAACGTTTGCGATTGCGGTAAATTTTAAAAAAACTTCATAAATGAACGCTATAAATCGTTTCGGTTTTAATTTATTATATTTGTTCAAGATTTTGACATACTATGATATACTCGTATCATCTCGAATTTGTAATGGTTTAAGCGATTTCATAATGATTATAGTTATGTAGTTATGATAGGCAAAGCTAATTTTACGAAAATGTGTTTTACACAAAATCAGTCATTCACCTATAAATTATCAGTCAATTATATATTAATATACCAGCCTAGTCACGTTTTGTTATATTTATATATCATCCTAGCCTTTTTTCACAACCTTTAGTATTCAAAACCATTTCAAAAACTATGTGCATTGTCATTTTGAGATTAACCTTGCTTACTTAACAACCATAAAATCATATTTTATCATTTGCACAGCTTTGTGTTTTGGGAAATCATCTTGTCCTAATGGCGGTACTTGCAGCCATGTTGACTTGTGTAGCTGTCCACGTGGCTTTTCATCACCAAAGTGTAATGGTAAATACAACACGATATAGACGCTTTTAAAAAGTGTTTATATATTACATATATCTAGCTTTATTCAGCTGACTATATTTCATAATAAATAGAACATGTTAAAAGAAAACCTGATCGTACTTACATGTATATGAAAATATCAAAGATATATAACTACTTTATATGAACTGCGTTTGTGTAAATTATGATAGACATTGTAAAATTACATACACAACTGTTATTATATTTGACTTTGATTGACTTCACTAAAAGCAACAACACTAAGTGCTTTGTGTAATTATGATATAGCAAATTTCACGGGAGTAAACTGTCAGATCCAGTCCAGATTACTCGTGTAAAAAGGCTATTAGACTGTTTTCTGTAAGTTCATTTAATAGTTCTTGGAAGATTCAAGAAGACAATAGGAACAATTCAACAACATATCCATTTCAGTTTAGTTTATTTGAGAACTTTGCTATTTCACTATCAATATTTTTGTAGAAAATCATATAAGTTAAATGTTGAAAAGGGAAGATTATTTTCAAGTTATAATCTATTATTTTTGTTCAAGATATTGACGAATGCAGCAGTGGCACACATGAATGTCAACATAATTGTGTTAATACTCATGGCTCTTACACTTGTACATGCAGAGCTGGTTTTATTCTGAGCTGGGATCGCAAGTCTTGTTTAGGTATTTACCGTTGTTTGATGATGCTAACGCTCGTCTGTTAAGGTCAACGAATATCGCTAACCAATTTTGATTAAAATTCTAACTTAAAAAGGGCATAACTCCAAAAATATATATTCAAAATTATGCCCTTTTCTAACATCCGCTTCTTGTCATGAAAAGCAATTGCTTCAAGTTTCCTGTTGATGGCTTTCAAGGTTTTTGATTAATTGGCTTCAGAAAAGTATTTGCACGACACAACAACAACGAAGCAGCGAACTTGAAAGCTCTAGTTTTTACTTTGAAACATACTAGCGGAAAATCATAAACTAATCATAGATGATATGAAGTTTATTTGGTTTACCCTATCGGTTTGACATATTTAAAATATTTTGGAATATCACACAAGTATGTTTTTGCTCGACGAACAGTTGCTCGTTATTTATCAGATATTCTAACATAGTTTATAACGTTTGCGATTGCGGTAAATTTTTTAAAAAAAACTTCATAAATGAACGCTATAAATCGTTTCGGTTTTAATTTATTATATTTGTTCAAGATATTGACGAATGTAGCACCAATACACATGGATGTCAACATAATTGTATAAAATTAATGTTGCCGGCTCTAATCTTTGTACATGCAAAACTGGCTTTACATTGAACTCGGATCTCAAGTCTTGTCGGGGTATACGTATTTCGTTATTTAATTGAAGATATATAATTACGTTACAAGTACCTTTATATTAATTATTAATTGTTATTGTGTAATAACATAAACAGCTGTTTCTGACATTTGACTTTGATTTTACTAGAAATCACAGCACTTCGTGCTGCGTGTCATTGTGATATAGCAAATTCCACGGTAGTAAACTGGAAAATTCAGTCCAGATATCTCGTGTGAAAAGTTATAAGACTGTTTTTCTGGGGTTTTTTTGTAAGTTAATGGTAAAGATCTGGACATTTCTAGAAAATAAGGAACAATTCAATAGCATAGCTATTTCCGTTTAGCTAAATTTCACGATATGACCATTAAATTATCATTATTTCATTTAGAGAATGAAATGGTTTTGAAAGGCTTTTCAAGTTACAGCATACCTTTTTGTTAAAGATATTGACGAATGTAGCAGCAACTCACATGGATGTCAACATGATTGTGTAAATACTTACGGCTCTTACCGTTGTACATGCAGTGCTGGTTTTACTTTAAACTCGGATCTCAAGTCATGTCCAGGTATTCAATATCGTTATTTAATTGACTAATCAGTAATAAGAGCACCGCATGTGGTGTTATCGCTTGTGTAATAAAGTCACGACTACCGGTTCTACTTTATCAAAAGGGTCATGGCGTCTAATTTTTCCTTTTGTCTACACATTTTATAAAATGACTTTGTTCCTGCTTTCGAGATCCCATATTTGTTAAAATGTCACACAAACAATTGTTGCTTAATGTTACTCAACGGCAATAACTTTTATTATTTATGAGATATTCTAACATCATTTACATCATTTACGATACTGGTTAATTTCAAATACACTGAACATTGACATGTAGAAAGTTTTCTTTTTTTGCAAGTTAAAATCCATACTTTTTGTTCCAGATATTGAGGAATGTAAAAACAGCGTTCATGGGTGTAAACATAATTGTGTAAATACTCATGGCTCTTACCGTTGTACATGCAGAGATGGCTTTTATCTGAGCTCTGATTTAAAGTCTTGTCTAGGTATTTATTGTCATTTGATTGCCAGTGCATCAGTTACAAGAGCACTCGTGTTATAAGGGAAACGGCTGTCAGTAACCAATTTTCATAAAAGTTCTACGTTACAATGGGCATAACTCCAAACATATCTTTCAAACTTATGCCCCTTGTCTATTACGAAAATGACATATTCCAAGTTTCATGTAAATATATTCCAGATATTTGAATTCTGGTCTTTATTAAAGCATCTGAACGGCAACGACGACGCAGTGACCATATTAGTTGGACTACAAAATTCAAATCAGTTCAACAACAGCAAATGATCCTAATCCGGAACGATTAGACACCGTGGACTAGCTAAATTCATAAACATATTATAATTTATTTAAAGTAAATTTGTTAATGCTTTCGATCTGCTATATTTTAATATATTGCATTTCAACAAATATTTATTGTCAAAAATTGTTCTACCATGTCTGTTTCTGCAGACATTTTAACATCTTTTATATCTTTTACGATAGCGGTAAATTTCAAATTCATACATAAACCCTTAAAATCTTGTCGTAATTTATTTCTCAAGAAATAATCTTATATCTCTTTGTACAAGATATTGACGAATGTAGCGGCAGCACACATGGATGTCAACATAATTGTGTCAATTCTCAAGGCTCTTACCGTTGTACATGCAGAGATGGCTTTATCCTGGATCCGGATCTCAAGTCTTGTCTAAGTATTTATCGTTATTTGATTAACAGTATATCATTCACAAAAGCACCGCCTGCGGTGTTAGCGCTCGATCGTTAAGAGCAACGACTATCGCTAACAAATTTTTTTATAACAAGGGGCATAACTCCAAATAGCTTTCAAAATTAAGCCCCTTATCTATAACAACTGTCATGAAAAGCAAGTATTCCAAGTTTCATGCTGAGAACTATTAAAGCATTAATATGACGAGCTTGATTAAAGTTTTACACGACGACGCCAACGACGAAGCATTGATCAAAATAATTTTTCTTCGAAACAGACAAGCGTATCAAAAATTTCATAAAGTTAATTTGTCACTGCTTACGGTCGCCACATTTTTATATATTGCATTTCAACAAATATTTGTTGTCAAAAAATGCTCGACGATGTCTTTGTCTCTTTTCTTCAAATATAACATCATTTATATATATACGATAGCGGTAAATATAATTTCAAATTAATTTAAAACAAGACGACTAAAATCGTTTCAGAAATAGAAAAAAACAACAACAATCCTGTGACGTCATTGGAAAAGAAAAAGAAAAGCAGCAATAATCGTGCACAAATCAGTTGTACTTATTTTTATTGAAGACACAAATATTTATCTGATCAAACGTAGAGATAACATAACAATGACATGATCATGATAACACGATACCATTGTGACACCGCGATGAAGACAACGCCATCGTACCACCCTGAATTTACAAAGTCATGTCATTGCGATTTCGTCATATCGTACAAACGTGATTCTGTTTTCATGTAATCTCGTTTTCACGGGATGGCGATGTGATTTGATGGTGACAGTGCGATATTTCTTATCATGGCCTTGCGTTTTTTTCTGTAACATGGAGTTTTTGTCATAGTGCATCCATGCCAATAATAAATCAAAATGTTACAAAAGTCTCAATGGAACATTTATGGAACGGCATCAAACTTCTTACAGAAATATATCAATTATTCATATTAAACCATTAAAATGTTCTCATTTTAAGAGAATGCAATTTATTTTCCTCTAGTATTAATCAATGTTTTGGTTCCAAATTCTCTGTCAAAGAATTATTTGATCAAATGATTACTTGATATTCTATGTGATTTTGTTCTTGAATTTTAAGAAGGTGAACCTCACTTGATATAATTCAAATTTTATATTGCATTATTTTAGATGTCTTTGCTATTATTGTTGGTCCGGTATTGGGAGCTGTTGCCATCTTCGTAACAGTGGTATTGGTGATAGTTTGTGCATTTAATAGAAGGAAATGGTAAGTTCAATCAAAAGACCTAGTCAAATTATTATTTGTGTATGAACGTCTGTTAACATTTTCTTTTTAAAGACATTTTTTTTTATCTCATACTACTGGGCTGTCTGCCAATATTTACCTTATCAAAGCGGCAGCAAGACGAATGATAAATACTTTGGACTAGGAATTTAAGACTTTCAGGGCATGGGTTCGATACCCATCAGGGACAAGCCAATGTTTCCTTGAGCGAGAAATTTGACACTCATTGCTTAATAATTTGTGTTCCTTAATCGTCTTAATAGGTCGGACAGAAATTCTGTATAACCTAAAACAATTTTGTACAAGACTACGGTTGCTATACATAAAAACCATATTCCTTAAAATCCTATTATCTAGCACCTCAAGACTTGCTTCTTACAGTTGTCTCATACAATTTGTTCAGATTGTAAACTGAAAACACTAATGGTCCCATTTTACTTATGCATAAATATACCTGAATATTTCTTTTACTATTATCACTCACTCGTGGAATGTTTAAAGGTTCCCCAACAAGTTAAAAACTAAAATTCAGATGTTTTCCAAATATGCGTATAGAAAATCTTAAAAACCCTAGTAGAATCGCATACCCTCGGACGGGCTCGGGCTGGCAAATAGCATTATTTAGTGACTAATTTCAATTATGATCCAAATTATCCATTGTTTCAGGACTCAGATACATTACATAAATGTATAGAGCTAAAAACTTAAATAATTTATATACTTATCTCTTCTTGCATAAAATGGTGTTTGTTCCTATAACCTTAATCTGAGGATATAATCTTGATATTTTTTATGTCGCATTATTTAAATTTCTAATTGAATATCATTTAATTAAGTTACGTCTCTTATTTAAACGGTATTTTTATAATTAAACAATTGGTTTAATAATTTCGGTACAATTTTTGCAGGTGGCCAAACAAAGTGTCTTCAAACGGATCAGGTAAAAGCTTAAATGTATTTATAATTTGAATATGTACTATGTTTTTTTCGAAATGGCGTGAAATTTCCTAATATCTATGTCGATAGTTACTAAGCTTTAAATTTTTCAGAGCTTTAAGTAAAATATCAGCCTGAAAAATATTATTATTTCCCCTCCAGCGACCCATACCAGTTTGATAATAGAGTATGGCAAGTAGAATATTTCACTCATCTCATATATTTTTTATTCTATATGTAAATCGTATATCAGTTACAGACTTCTTTGGAATGTATAACATTTAACATTAATACTATTTTATCACACACCCATGCCGATTTTGCGACTCCTTAAAAATAATATTGCACGGCCGTGCATATATTTTGACGTGACGTCATTAGCGTTATACAAACATAGCGTTATACTATAGGTGCGTCAATGAAAAATGACTCTTATTTCACTTTAAGTGTAAGTTCATTACTGAACTTATTGCACTCGTTGAATAAAATAATATTATGATCGCCTGAGGCTCGCATAATATAATTTTATTCAACTGGTTCAATAAATTCAGTATTGAACTTACACTCATTCAATATCCTCTATTTTGTCAATTTTGTCAATATTGCAAGTTTCTTTTAAATAAGATTATAATAATCCAGTTCTGTTTTTTTCCGGTTAGGAGAAGGTTTGGAATTATCTAACTTGAATCGGAATGACCTGTTTGTGGATTTTAGCAAGAAGACTCCCTGTTCTACCTTTTTAAAAATCGTATGTATACATTTATAATAATCGTACATTACTGTAAATGATACCTCAGGAGTTTTGAATTTTCTACTACATTATGTTATGTGATTCTATGTATGTATATATGCATTTATGTATGTCACAATTTGCTTATGTTTCCCGCTATTGTGGGACTTTTGCATATATTGAAAATAAAAAAAAAAATCTGAAATCTGAATCGTTCACTCAAAAAATGAAAGTAATGTAAACACTCTATGGATCTTAAAAATCAATTCTGAATGCAGTTTTGTGAAACTTTTATTCTACATGTTGACATGGATAAAGTAGAAAAATATTAAAGAGAATATATAAGTTACTCTTTTTACACATATGAGCAATAACGGGGGACATTCATTTAAGTTTATACACTTATGTTTTTATAAATATGTAAAGTAAAATAAAAGAATAACAAAATAAATCATGGATTAATTCCTAAGCATGATATTTTAGTAAAGGAATTGATGTTATTGTTTGTTGTAGGCGAACGATGGCCGTACGTTTTCGAATATGCCCAGTGGAAAGAACATTAATTCGAAATCTACATACGTATGTACATTGTATTTCCTTTCATTGTTAACAAAACTAGTACAATGATCTTTTGGTTGCAATATGTTCTAATTAATATACGTTCACATGTACTTAATAAACTTTTAAGTAAAAAAAATCAATAATAATCCAATGACGATTGGTTTAGCCAGTAATCTGCTGTTATTATTGGGACACAAATAATAGAGAAAAACAAAATCCCTAAAGAAAGCCCAACACGGCAGAATTGAAAATGTTGCAGGCTCGGTTTGATTGAGCCTGTTTATGGACGATATTTAAAAGTGCAAGTTACCGTCTACGCCCTCTAGCACTGGCTTAAGCAGAATTCAACATTTAAACACGAAAATGGTGAAATTTTGAATTAAGAACAAAGTTCGCTTGGGAAACGAGTGTTTAATTAAAAATATATACTCGAGACTTTGGTAACTTAAGTATTCTGGGTTCTTTTTAATGTCCTGAAAATGGAAGATCCCTCTAGAGCAAAAAAACAAAACAAAAGCAAACAGTAAAAATTCGCAAGATTATATCTTGTTTGTTTTTTTACATTAAGGGTCGTGCAATCTCTCTTACCCCCCCCCCCCCGACACCGACTTTAGCGTAATGCGTCAAACGGTATGAATTGTGAGTCATTTTTGGTGCCTGCTTCTCTGAAGCGGGACACACACACACACATATATTAATCATTTTGATAATCCTTCAATTATTGGGTTTAGCACAATGTTGTGGTGGACCAAAACAATATAGTGCGACACTTTTGTTTGAGTATAGTACCTTGAATTTTATGTTAAACTTATTGAAACAATTAATTATATTATAAAACACGTTGTTATACATAGATTATGCTCTTTTAAATTTGTGTCCCTTTATGAAAAAAATGGCCGTCTTTTGAAAATTTAGCGCACGCCTGGGATTCGAAACGAAATAATTAATATTGTTACGTCATATTTTTGCAAAACACTGGATCAAATTCATAATTTAATATTCAATAAGGATCTGAACCATTCTTCAATTATACAACAAGATTCCTTCTCGATGGGATTTTTAATACGAAAAAAGCTAAAAGTCTTTAAGCCGTAATTTCCACGACCTTAAGTTGAAAACTGAACCAAACAATTGTTTAACAAAAGTAAAGATACAAAACTTAAAAAGAATACATTTTACATGTACTGTTCGGTTAATGGTTCTTTGGTTGGCACCGATTACGTCCGCGCAAAGCGCAAGTTTCTGTGCTGCAATTTTTCCCTTCTCTCTATTGGCACTGGCATTAACATCATTGACGTTGATGACGTCGATCTACCATCGAACAGTGGACCTGCAACTATAATCATCCTGAAGCACAGTGCGGCATTCTACAAACCGTGTGTGCTTTCCAAACTGATATGCAGCTCACGCTTTCTATTCCTCTCACTATTGTCTTTAAAGGTTTGCGAGCTGATGTCCGTAATACATAAAAAATCATAAGTGCTTCAACTAACTTTCTGTCAATCATTCTGACGTTGGAAAGCATAGTAGACGGTTCCATTCAAAGATTTTCTTTTATACAAATTCGATTTATGTACGCACATGTATGCATATATTAATTGGCAAATTTGCAAGTAATTCAGAAGATGGTTTCTTAAAAATTGAAAGGAAATACATGCACTTTTGTAGGGTATTTTTGTGATACTATTTGTTAACCTTTTTGTATTTTATAACAATATCCTCAAAATATATAGATTATCAAAATATCTTTAAATAAATGGCAGATTTTTCTAAATGTATGCGCGATAATGAGTCGGCGAATATCTTGTACAACCCTCCAACAGACATTTCTCTTTGGATTCTCATATCTTTGAAACCCCATTAATGGTTTCAAGATGCAATTAATATTATTGACAAGTCTTCTCAAAAGGAAAAAAATACAAACTTAAAAACATAATTAAAAACAGTTGAATATATAACATCAGTAAGTAATATATTTCTTAAAATGAAATTTTTCTTGAAACAAAAATCCCTTGTATTTATTTTTTCATTTTATGATAATCATTTCAGAATTATTTTCAAATTTGTCTTTTTTTTTACAGATGGGTGAAAATTACGAGCCGTATTTACCCAATCAGTGTTAACTGACGTTTGTTGCTATATATCCAGTGCTAGATTCGAAAGTTAGAAACATACAAGTATACTTCCCAGATGCTTAACGCAAATATTTCCTTTTTCAGTTTTTTCAGTGAACTTCGCTTCATAATTATCCCCTTATTTTTCAGTAATAACTCAATTTTAGTTTTAAATTTGATATAAATTAAATAATTATAATTGTTCATTATTGGTAACAAGTGTATATCTTGTTAAAGAAGAGAAAGGTAAAATATCAAATAGCAATATGAATTACGACTGAAACAGAAAATATATAGCAACATTGTAAATACAACGAAAATACTGAATCGTATTTTTATAGATTTAAAAATGTTATTTCAAATATTGAATAGACTACTCCTATAAGTAAAATCTTATGATTCGGAAAAATCGCCAAATAACGCATACAAGTTCTGATGTACAAGGACTCTGAAAACAAAATTTACTCACGAAGATATAGGACAAAACTGTGTATCATCCAAATATGTTTCGTGTTCCAGTGAAAACCATTAGATAGAGAGACATAGAATCCCTAAAGCACTTCCAAAAGGGTAAAATTGAAAAATTGTAATCTCAGTTAGATTGAGCCTATACATGGACAGTGCTTGTCACCGTCCCTCTAACACCGGCTTAAGCAGAATTCAACATTAAAAGTGTGGGAAGCTAAAGTTTTGAATTTGAAAACATTCACAGATGTGATCATACGGCGGTGTTTATGAAATCCCCCATGTAACACGTTGATGGAAGGTCCATGAAAAGTGACGTATGTTTCTAAAGTAAAATAATTCGTAATCATACATTATCCCCGAAATTTTACTGTAGTTGTGTGTTGTTGATGTAAATACAATACTGCATTCAAGTTAAATATATTTAAATGAAATTAAATTTTTTGATATACATATATGTCATTTGCAAGATATTAAGAACTATACAACAATAAGAGTCCTTGCTTAAAGAGATAAGCATAATACGAGATCTTGTATTTTATTTATGAAGTTTATAAGAGGGAAGACAACCCTGGTATGTCATTATATACATATTTATATATATGACGCGGTAATTGTTAGCAAAAAGCCAAAGCGATTTACATGATGCATTATTTGTGATGTAAGATTATTGTGCGCTACGGGGATAAACTGTTAATGCTGAAAAACCGAAATTGTTATCTTTAGTAAATCGAAGTTAAATAATAATAATTTTAATTCTTTTATAATAATAGTAAACTTGACAATTGTTGATGACTCTTCTTATCTTTTTTGTCCGGTTTAATTTTAATGGAAACTTTTCAAAAACAAAGAAACGTCTTGTTGATCAATCCAGAAAGGCTATGTTTTCATTAATCACTAAAGCTAGGAAGTAAAACTTACCGATTTCTCTTCAAGTATAACTCTTTGATTCTTTAATTACTCCTATTGTGTTGTATGGTTCGGATGTATTGGCTCTTGAAAATATCAATATAGTTCAGTCCTTTCAGCATAAACTTGAAATTAAAACCATCTATACTTTATTGTATGGTCTTGGTGAACCTGGATTGAAACAGATACTTGTACATGTTAACGCTAGATTGGATTGTTATAATGGAGTAAATTGATAAACTCTAAAGATAGCAAGGTAACAATGTAATATTTTTTAGTTTTTTAGTATTCATTACATACTTATAACTTTTTGTTACTCTAAAAACACCATGGTCCCTGTGATAATAAATCGCAATAATCCTTTAAACTGTGATAATCTTTTAATGTAATCTTTTCTTAATATGCACGTGATTATTTCTTAATGTGATACTGACTTTTTATTGAATTTCATTATATTACATTTCAATTGTGATATTATAAATGATATCCTTTATTAATGTGATTATTCTTAAGTGATTTTTTTTCTTTTATGAAATACCTCTCTTTGTCATGCCACCAAATGCTAAGGACCACAATGGAAATAAGAGCGTGCTCTTTTTTTTGTGTTATCCTTGGTTTTGGGAACATGTCATAATTTACATAATGTAGTATTTATTTAGTTATTTATTTGTAATTGTTTTGATCTATATTGTGTTTGTTTATCATGTCACATGTTTACCTTTTGCCGAAATAAATATATCTATCTAACTATCTATCTATCTTTACAATACTGCTTATTAATAACATATTAATGATATTGATTATTCTCCTTGGATTGCATTAGTAAAAAACTGTTAAGATGAACTAAGTATGTCTACCCAAAAAGTAGACAATCTTGATAATTTCAAATTGTTAATTCAGAACATACTATTTGATCAGTACAGTGTTTAATTCTGCAAAATGTTAAGTGTATAAAACTTATAAGACTGAACATAGTTTTCAGGAACATTTTGATATATTGCCTATAAATCTGACTATTTATATGTGTAAGTTTAGAACTATGAATCATCATTTTCCTAAAGAGAAAGGTCGGTCTTTTAATATTGAGCGTGCTGATAGAATATGTAACTTATGTACAAAAAATTGTCTTTGAGACGAATTTCATAATCTTTTTTAATGCGCACATTTTCTAATGATAGAAGGAAATATATTCAAAGATACTATGCTAACAAACCAAACCCTCATAAGTTATTATAAGTATAAACTTATTAAACTGGCTTTAATTTGTAAGCTTTTATTACAGAGTATTTAATAATAACTCATTCTCCAACGTTAGACAATATATCATGATATAGATGTTTGTTGTTTTTTTTGTTTTATTCAGGGAATCTGTATATATGTTTCACATTGTTCGATAAGTGTTTGTATGCACTTGTGCTATGAACCCTTCATCATTTTTGTTTATCTTTTATATATACTTTGTAGTTTTAATCACATGCATGTAATATGCCATGATTAAGTAAATAAACTAAACTTATACTAGTTATCAGTCACCCTTTACAAGTCAGGCGTCTTCTGAAAGGTTATGTTTTAAAAAATTTGTTTTGAGTTAATTTCCATCATAAAGTTTAGTTTAAAAATCTATATCTAAGTAAACATATTAAGCTTCCGATATCCGGAGCAAATTATATGTCACTTCCGTCTGTCCGGAGTAAAATCAGCCATGTGGGCTTTAGTCATATAATAGTATATACATATAATTGTTAATCTTATACTATTTCCAATTGTCTGAACTATTTAATGTTCTTATACAGCCATGGATAAAAAACTGCCAAACCTAATTAACCTCAGTAAAACGTTATCAAGCTAAGAAAGAGTTGTTTTTATTGTTCCCTCTGCTTATTTTTTCAATTGCAATATCTTTATTGCATTAAACATTTTACAATGCTTATAGCACATACAAATATATACATTGGCAAATGAAAACATATCCAAAAAGAAAAAAGCATACAAATTATTTTAACAAATATAATTTTGTGTTAGTTATTTTTACAAAGTCTTGAAACAAATACATTTTTTGTGAGTTATTTTTCTTCAGGTAACTACGAAACGCGGATTTTATCTGCAAAGAAAATGAATTTTGCTAGTTGGGAAATAGATTTTTTTTATTTAGAATTCATTAGAAGTTCAAACTTATTTATTGTTGGCCATCGGCAGAAATATGGCTTAAGATATTTTTCGGAGTTCGCGGTAATTAGGACAGGCAAGTAAAAAATGAAACTCATTTTCCACTACATTCATTGTTCACGATTTACAAATACGCCGTTCACGCAGCATGTTGTCATAGCTACCTGTTTCGATAAACAAGTTGTGGGAGGAGGTTCTAAATTTTGAGAGGGCTATTTTGTATTTAGGCTCTCAAGAACAATTTAAATATGGTTCGACATTAAAGCTATGTTTAAAGATGCAGTAAGACTCCAAACGCGTGGAATTGTTTATAGTTGTAAGTATGGGTCCAAGATACGTTGCTTAATCATTTGGAATGGAATATCAACAAATTCTTGTTGGTCCCAAATGTAACTTAATCCATGTGTTTCCAGTATACTTTTAACTTCCCCGGCGCAACTTTTCCTCTATAATCTACCCCGTCTTAAGGAAAATGCACGTTTTTTTGACTAATGAGTTATCTGGAAGTTTTAAAATTTTCGCCCAGTACTTGATTATGTTGATTTTTCTATAAACTAAGAGTGGCATGCGCCCTAGCTCACCGTAAAGAGTGGATAAATTTGTGGAACGTTTAACGCATAAGATTCGACGTAAAAATTGTGTCTGAACTAATTCAACGTCTGTTGCTTCGTGCATTCCCCATACTTACGAGCCAAAATGGTGGATCGAACCAACGAGACTATCAAATAATTGAAGGATCTGTTTCACAGGTAATTCAATGTTATTCAAAATAGATACTTAACCGTATAGAGACCTAGAAGCATGATGTGCGTGCTATACATTTTTGAGTACGGTACCAATTACCATGTTTAAACAAATTAATGCCTAAGTATTTAAAAGATGTGACTGTCTCGATTGGCGTACCATTGATATGGAAGTTTTGATAAGTTGCGCGACCTTTTGCAAAAACCATTGCTTTAGTTTTGGGAATATTTTTTTCACCCCCCCCCCCCCACCGTCCGCAATAGTTCACTAGATCATCTATCATTGATTGAAGGCTGGTCGGGGATTTATAACACTTGTTGCTAATACGTACTACATTTAAATTTAAAGTTACATGAGTTGGGTTATCGTGATTTACAAACCAAGGTTTTCTGATGTACAAAGACACGTGTGATGTGACGTACCTGATCTTAAATTACTCAACATTAATCAGTCAAAACAATATCAACTTCATATATCATATACCCGGTATGTATTTGATTACATTCATTGATAAAAGAACTGGTGACTTTTAATAGCAATGTTCATAGTTAATACATTATACATAAAATCTTTAAAAAGCTTTTAACATAAAGTATTTAGATATACTGCCTATTGGATATCTAACATTATTATAATCAGAATGAGAGCCAACTACTTAACTAAAAACAACAGTGGAGAAAAACATTAATTCTCCGACTATATACAGGAAAGTAACGTATGAATTTAAATTTCTTACAAAATATCAAAAATCACTTAAATGCAAAAGATAATCAAGAAATAGACTAAGAAATAAATTTTAAACTCATATTTTATGTTTATGTTTAGTTCGATTTCAGTCAAAAGCTTTGCAGCGCTCATTTTTCAGAATAAGAAGAATTACTCCGAGGAAAAATGAGTGAGCGGAGGATCTGAAATTTCATACAAAAAGTTAAAAGTGTAGACCTACATCAAATGTTACATTAACCTCGAATATTTCATTAAGATTTATTGTACAACAATGCAGATTTCCGGTCATTATACGACACACAAAGTGTCATTCTCTGATATAGAACATCTGAAAAACGGGAGATTTCTATATAGAGCAAACAATATAGACTAAGTTGATAATTGTAAATTGCAGACTTGGTTTTATTTAGTCTCTTCGTGAGAGATAGGAGAAAGTGCAACATCCCTCTCATACCCCCTTGCACCGGCTTCGGGGTTACATGATGGCTTTTAGGATATATACACAAATTGAAAATTTATTTATGTTTTTTACCCATTTGCCAAAACTTTATCTGTTACATTTTGAAACTACATCCCTTATTTCAAACGTTCATTTCCGGGGTCCTTTTTCTTAACATTTACTATTTAAACTGGATGAAAAGGAAGAATTCAAAGAAACCACACGTCAACACCGGATAAATGTGAACAAAATTTTAATAAAGATCTACCGGTTTCGAAACTATCTGTTTCTTCTCATTACTATTTAAGTTATATATTCACGTGAGGCGGACCGAGAACCTTCAGAAAACCGGTGATCTCGAATATAAGATTTGGCGTTTCATCCACTTCTTTGTAAACATTTGAATATTTTCGGGTGTACAGCACTTCTGACTATTTTTGAGTGCTAAAAACTGAAAAGTGTTGATAGAAAAGGTATAACTTGTTATCCTTTACTTACATTTGCGTGAATTAGATCGGAAATATTGAGAAAAATGCACGGCATGTTTTTGACAACTGGTCAACCTTTCAATACCGTACTTCCGACTATTATCGAGTGCGCGAAATTTTAAGAAAAATTATGCTGAAAGTGTGTAATTTTTCATCTTACTCATGTACTATAATCAGGCGGACCAGAAATGTACATACATTCTTTCTTAAACAACTGGTGGTTTCGTCTTTGAGCTTGTACTTCTGAGTACTATCGAATGCGTCAAGTTGAAAATTTTCTTTCCTGAAATATGAAACTAATAATGTTCTACTTGTGTTTGAATGAAGCAGATTGCATGAGAAATACTCAGAAAAGTTTTGGACAACCTGTCAAACTAGTATACCGTACTTTTAACTATATTTGAGAGCGCAAATCTGAACATTTTCAAAATGTATACTGTAGTTAATCATCTAAGCCATGTATTGAGTAAAGCGGATCGGAAGTTTTCTGAATCAGCCAGGAAATAATAAGAAGGATTTTTTTTCTAGTTTTCTAGTTTTAACAATTTGGTCAACCCTTGTAAGAGAGATGTTCGCTTCGAAATTGTACGGTTCTTCCATGTTTTGTTAACCTTTAAAATTGTTCAAAAAGCCATATTATAATATTATTACATGTGTATACATCTGTCAATTAAAGAAAACAAATGTTGTTTGTTTTATTTTTTAATTCTCTTTAAAGCCTCTGTGTAAGTATTTCATAATATACGAACTTCAACGCAGTGACATTTACTTTAGATTGACACGGACATTTAAATTATTTTGATGGAGTATTTAATTGGTCGGGAACAAAAAATAACATTCGGTTATGGTTCAATGCTATATTATATAAAGAGCCCACGCATAATTATGATCAGTAGCCTAAGAATGGACGGCGTTGTAAGGATAGCTATCGTCGCCTTCCTGTTCAGGTAGTTACTTTCTTATTTTTAAATGCTACATTTTTTTAAAATAATTCCAATTTACTTTTTTTTTAGTGAATGGAAAGTTCTTTCTGAATTTTGATAATTATTAAGCAGCAAAGTTTGTTTTGTTGTTGTTGTTTTCTTCAGTCTGGTTAAATGAATAATTTAAATTTAAAATTTCTTATTGTCGTCCTGAAAAAATGTTTCCTCTCTGAATGTTAAATGATTGTGTGAGGAATTAATTTTATTTTCCATGTGTTCTTCCGAGCTCAGAATATAATCGTATTGGTAGGGCAGTGCTCAAAATCTAAATCATATACCATAGTCGAAATGGTTAATGATTTAGATTTCATGTAACCAATTACAAAAACAACAACATTTTTCCAAAATGTTTAAAGAAGTCATATAAATTAACAAATTGTTGTTACAGTAATGTATGAACTGAATGATGATTCGTTCTGTAAATAATAATTAGCAAAATCAACAATTATTTAGGTGTGTCAATTGAATGTCCATATAAATAAATATGTGTCTGTCTTAGCAGTGCATTTTACTTGTATCAATATATTTTAGCTAGAGGATTGCTTGCCTTTCACCAGGAACGTTTTTCATGAAATGCGAATCTATATTTTTTTTCTTACAGCATATCTTTTATGAAAGCATATAGAGCTATATCTAGAATTTTGTCCGATGATAGCTTTTGATACGCACGATACCAGAGTCCATAAATTACATTATGAATTAGATTGACATATTTACGTGAAACGAAAATCTCCTCTGCGTTACCACATGATTGCAGGGGTAAAATATTTTCTGAGAGAATGTTGAAATTTTACTTTATAATTTATGAAACAAAATGCTTTTTTATGTTTTCACTGGCTACCATTGCAGTCCGGAATATATATAACATATAGATTCTATGTCAGAAAGAAAATACAAAAACCAGAGCAGATTCGGGTGTAATCGAATATATATTACATACAATAAGCGTTTATTTCATTTAATTGCCTTATTAATTCCTTCATTAACAAAAACCTGCTAGAAAATAATTGCCCTGACATGAAACAATGATATGATATATTGCGATAATTATGACTACATGTACGTTCGAATACATGAATACGGAGAAGTAAAGCAATCCAGTATGCGAACTATGAAAACAAGATCAACATGGAATGGTGGCGTTCAATGAAGTTTTGCAACCGTGTTATTGAAATTATAACAATCTGTTGTCCACCTTGTTTTATCGGACCAATCTGAATTTTAAAAAAATGTGTTTCCTCGAACATTAGGAAAAATTGATATCGTAATGTTATCAATTTATACTTATAGCACTCATTCTAGAAATCATATAATGTTGTTCTTTGACTTGTTATTTATTTATTTATTTATCTATTATCTGTATATTCATCTATTTATTTATTTCCCATGCACTGTTTTCAGCCAATCGCTGGCCATGTTACAATGCGAAAGTGTGACCTAAAGGAAATATTACATGTTAAGTATTCGATTACCAATGATGTGGAAGCTTTTATAGCACTCTTGAGTCATTTTAAAACTTGAAGCTCCCATTTTTCCAATGATCGCCATAATGCAATATTCCGAATATTCTGAAAATGAATGTTATCATGTGATTTTCATACATAATTCACTATTCTGAAGCCAATTTTGTAAAAACTTCTACATAATCACTCAGTAACAATAAAAATGTGTCGGACATTAAAAACATCAAGATTCGTGAATCAGCGAATCTGATGAAGTTGTTACAAATTACGTGCGGTGCAAATTTGCCAAATACAAAACGCGCAGCTGAAAGAGTAAGACACGGAATATCAAATTATACCTTTATAATAATAATAAAGTGCGTGAAACGTGCCATATACGGGGAGATTTTTACGCATTGAATCAACTTATCGTCGTTTTCATACACATCATCACATCTGTTAGGTAGCCGGGTCGTCATATGTCTCTTTAAATTGAATTTCATGTTTTTCAACAAATGGTATTGACGAATTCCGAAATGTACCGCTAAAAAGCAAAAAAAAAAAAGGTGGGTTTCCTTCCAGCTGTTGATGGTATACCCATAGATAATTGCATGAAACGCGTTCTCTGTTAGAATTGTACCAGTCTAAAGTGTGTAACTATGAGCATAAAGAATCAACTTTTATCACCGTTGACAATTTTTCGGGGATGTTAAAAGATGCTCAAAATCTGATTCACAACAGAACGGTCATGATCTGCTCAAGAAATAAACACAAAAATGAATAAAGAAATAAGTATAATAATAAAGTGTTATGCATTTTATGTGTTTATTTAGTTTGTTCTGTTTGATGATTTGAAAACGACGTTTCTATAAAACTCGTACGTCTATAAAGTTATACCCTAATAAAACACGTTCATCGGCATGACAAATAATGGGTGTAAAGTGATATATATTTTATAAATATTAAAATATAAAAACTGAAAAAGAAACTAATATTTTTTCCATAAACTGTACACTTTTACTAATAACCAGTTTCCATATAATATTTGTGGTAGTGTTTTGGTGAATATGTGTTATTTTTCTTCCACGTCGTACATTTTATTTTGCAAAATACTTTTCCGATATCCTGTCGTATGAGTGAGACATGGTTTAAATATATGAAAAAGAGAAAAAATGCAACAAGAACAAGGAAGTCTTCCTTGTTGAAAATATTGTTTGCATTTCGAAACTCAAGAATTTAAGTGTGTAAACATACATATCTTGCACCACGTCGACTCTTTTAAATTTTAAAATATAAAGTTGACAGACATCATAAATGTTATTTACTAAATCATTGTTATGTTCACTTAATGAATTTATGTTTTTATCTTGCATATGAGAGTATATTAGTTTATACTTTTACTTTACGTATGCTTGTAATGAATTAATATGTGCAATTGAATAATTAAAAAAATATGAATGCCACCTTTTTAATCATTTATCACATACCCGTGGCCACTTTTACGACTCCATTAAAACGGTATTTCAGGTCGTGCATATATTTTGACGTGGCGTCATTTGTGTAATACAAACATGGCGTAAAGACTCGCTACAATATATATAGGCGCGTCGATAACAAAAACTGATTATTTTCACAAAAAACAGTTCTTTTTTATGTATGTAATAAAAAGAATATTATATTCGTGTATTTTCATTTCTTATTTTATTAAAGCCTCTGAAAATATTATTATTATATAACGACTTTAATATATTAAGTATTGAATCTACACTCATTTTATATCAGAGAGAGAGGGGGTGGTGTATTTGTATTATCTTAGTTGATTAATCGGCGTTTAAATCAATGTGCATTCATAACATTAACATTATAAAACACATTATACAATGTACACATTAATAATTAAAATGGATATAAGTTGTTTGTTGTCACACATACTCATGTAGTGAATATTTGTAAGTAGCATTGTCTTTTTAAACAAATTATTTCTATTACCCATCGACAAAGACTCAGCACCGATTAAAATTTTACTAAATTTATTTTATTTAGTTTTTGGCGAAAACATTGTCATAGCTGAGTATCATATTCAAAGATAAAAATTTGAAATGCTAATTGAATATTTATCTTTATGTAGTATATTTTGCGTTTTTGCTACGATTACGGCAGCAAAAATCTGAAAATTATGCTATAAAAATGGAACAAGTTACACTGATATATGTGACAGCAATTTGCAAAAACGCAGCAGACTTAAAAAGCTGTTTACCCAGGTGACTGTAGCAAAATTAGAGTCTTTGCACACTTTTAAAACATTTCAAGAAATGTATCTTCTCGTAGTCCATTTGTAATATATATCATTAGATACGTGCTGGACTGGTCTTCCTGTCTGCCGCCTATATACTCGCTATGACGATGGTCGGCTCGTCTCTTTATGAAATTATACAACAAACAGACAGAGTAAAACAATCTGAGGTGGGAGGGTGGGTTAAAAGCATTTTAATTATGTAAAAAGATTTAAACTTTAAGTTTTTAAACTTAGCGTCAGTACAACTACCTTCTTCGTTGGCTTCCAGATTGCAAAAGAATGAATAACGATCGGTGCTGCGCTGTTCAAAGAAAAGTAGTACTTAATGTATCCCTCCACTTAATTCATGTATACCATATTTGTACATGTATATGATCTTTGCGATGTGTAATAAGGTTAATAATGTAAATCGTTAACCTGAATAAAATGTTCCTTTATAAAGAGCCACGGTCATGACTTAGGGCATGTGTTGATATTCAATTTGTTTTTTACAAAATGATTTTATTTAATACCCATTAATACCCGTGCTACTATATATAGTAACATACTTAAGGTTATTTCAAGGCCATTATGACAAAAAGCGGACCAATGTGAACGAACGAGATGAAAAGATTCAACAATTCACCTGAACTAGTTAATTTTCGTCTATTTCAAATTGTTTGAATTACGATGGCACTTCTCCCATTGGTATTTTCCCCCATTAAATTAAAATAATTCAAATAAGCTTAAATAATTCTATTGACAAATACATTTTGTTTTTAAATATCAGTTGAAAAACGAAATCAATTGTCACGTACATCTTAAATGCTGTTATGTGAATGTTTGCTTAATAAATAATATTTAAGAAATAATAAATATATAACTAAGTTTGCTTAGTTATGTAAATATTTGCAGAGTGCGGATGAGCAATGATATTATTCTATCTGAAGACGATTTAAGATTTTTTTTAAGACATTAATTAAATAAAACAGATGATCAGTTATTTATGCCAGACATGATTTATTGAGTATATTTGCTCAGTATCAGGGAACTGTCAACCTCAGTTAGTTGTGGTATTTAAATAATATCTTGTAAACAGACTAAATCAAACACAGTTGGCAATGTCAACACTTTTTGCTGCCTTTGCACTCAAATAAGGACAATGCATTTCGTTATATATTGTTTTTCACTTCCCGTTGGCGTGGTCTATATCTATTATTTAATAACGCAATCATGTTTATTTAAATTAACCACTGAAACTGATTGACTAACCCTTAATTCAAACGTTTTGTACACATACATTTTATATTTATTTTACTTGTTTTTTATCAATAGTGAATACATTATTCTTCATATTCATGAAAAGGAAGAATAAAGTTTGTCCTACCCAACGTCCAGGAGAATCATCTTGAATAAAAAGAAAAAACATCTGAAGTTTTGTTGAGTAGCAAATACTTGCTGCTCTTTGTTACTTGTGAACGAAGGAAAATAAATTTAAAATCTAACGTGCTTACATTTATACATACGTGAATCAGATCATGTTTTTAGAATACATATTATTTGATTAAAATGATTGAAGTGAATTGGTCAATATATGAAGGTATTTAATACAATTACAAATCTTGATAGTCTTTAGTATTATACGTAACGACAAACCACGAAATAATAATGTATGAATTTTGTTAGTAATACATTATAACAATATGAGATAACATATCTGTAAACAGTAGACTATAAATTGTTCTAGAAGATAATATTATTATCACACGTATTATTGTTCAAACTTAATCTCTAAGAACTTTATATTTGATATAATCTTAGAAAATAGGTTCCATTGTATACCAACCAATTCATTTTTAATCATCGAGTCGAAATGAAACACTTATGAAAGAATAATGCGTTTGTTAAGCTACTGTATATAATATAAACTCAGATCATCATTACTATTGAAAAAAGTGTGCTATTTAAATCAGTTACGCATTTATCTTGAACATATCTTTCATGTTTTCTGAACTATTCATTTTCTAGTTGTATTTTCATGACTGTTCTTTAATACATATATTATGATGATGATATTTGCACTATAGGATTTAAATGTTTTCATTTCTAAATGATAATTATTATGTAAATGCAGTTATCACAGATGTCTTTACTACACTTTCTAGGGGTATTTGTAAATCTGAAAGCATTTTCGGAAGGCTATCATGGCTACTTATCTCAACATTTGCAAATGTTCGAGTACAACAATATCCATGCATTCAAGATAGCTTGATGTCCTTTAAGGTAATCCGGACAAAACATTCCAAATACAAAGTAAGAAAGTTATTGAAAGAAAATCATTTATGAGGTTTCTAAAAAAGTACCAGAAATATTGCTTGTAAACGTTTATATAAGAGGTACTGCTATAAAAGTTATATTAAATCGTGTTTCAAAGTCCTTCCTCAAGACAGGAAATAAATTATCCAAGACAATTGATTCCTGATTAGATAATGTTCAAAAATATGGAATGAAGTTGCTTAGACATTGATATGCGATGGGCACAAAATTAAGAGTCGATGGCTTAAATGAAAGTAATTTTACACACTGATGGATTGTTTTTTACGAGTGTCGACTGAAAACGAAAATAAATAATGTTTTAAAAATCGCCTTCCGACAATTCTTTCATTACTTTGATTATTAAAGGTGTCTTCACTGCTAATTTACAAAGAAGTATCTGTTTAATTTAATTATATTTACATGCTTTTGTAGGGGCATCTATGCTGGATTCTGTACGACATCGTACTCTTGTCAAACCTCGTGTAAAACTTCTACGAAGTATCACACAGCATGCGGTTTTATGGGATGGGAAAGATGTTCAAAATCACGGTAACTTTAATCATCTTCTTAGTTATACAATCTATTCAAATGTTTTAATTCTGTATACATTACAGAATGTGTATGAATCGGGTGCCTACGTTTTATGTAATGTATACTTAATCAAACTTTTTTTCCATATGACTGTTTTCTATTCAGAACTGTTTACAAGCGATGTTCAAAAACATGCTATAAAAATGTATGCTGTGCCGGCTACTCTGGAAGTGACTGTAACATACGTAAGTTTTTTTCTTCTTTTCTTTATCAAGAAATATCTTACAAGATTATGATTATAAGTGTTGATGAAATAATATTTGCAAAGTGTATTGCACAATTTAAGAAACAAGTTAATGTTATCATTTTTACTACCTTAAAGTAGTCTTAAAGTTTTCAAAACCGTTTGCGGTTTACATTTAATTTAATATTTTTGAAGAAAAATGTGTTGTTTTTTTTAATCATAAATCACCTTAAATGACTGACCAATTAGTTTCAAGTAAACATTCAAATTACCAAAATATACTCTATTGTTCATACAGCTTCTTGTTTCGGATTGAATGTGTGTCCCAATGGTGGAACATGCCAATCTCCGGACACGTGTAAATGTCCACGTGGCTTTTCCTCGCCGGCATGTAGTGGTAAATACAATTTAATTATATATATACTGTCCTAAGATGATAATTTGGTCTTAACGGTACATGGGAAAGTCGAAAAACGGGGTTATCTGGATTATTATCCGATATCGTAAAAGTAAACACTTACACATACTATATAGCATTATTCTTACAGAATTTTTGTGTATTACCGTTATGGTTCTGTCGGTAGGTCGGAGTAATTGTAACTACGGTATTAGTGTTTTGTACTCATTGGTTCGAATCTTACTTAGAGTCATTTTATAACCACAGTTTTTTCTTCTTACTCTGTTTTTCATCATTATTCTTTATTTATTTTTCGTTTTCCTTTTTGTTTTCTTCTTATAATATATATTTTATAGTATATATATATATATATATATATATATATATATATATATATATATATATATATATATATATATATATATATATATATATATATATATATATATATATATATATATATATATATATATATATATATATATATATATATTATAGTATATATATATATATATATTTTTTTTATTTCCATTCTATTTTCCTTTTTGTATTTTTTTTTGATCGCAGTGTAATAAAATATTCGATATCATATTCATGTATGTATATGAAAAAACCGGTCAGATTTGTTTTCTGAACAATTGGCTGTGCTGAAGTAAACAAAAAATATGTACCATGTTACCAGTAGTCGAACTTCTGCCTGTACGGGTAAAACACACTGCTGTCACGGTTGCTCTACCTACTGCGCTAACAAGTCATATGATAATATGTAGTTTTATTTTCATTTTTATAGGTTGTGGCATTGATCTGTCTAACCTATTTTTCGGATTGTTAATGGTCTTTGTTATGTAAACAAAGGCTCAAGTTATCATCCTAGGACAGTACGATTTATACATCTCTGCTTATTTTGTTATTTTTGCTGTACGTATTAGATGTACACCGTGCATATCCAGTAACGTAGGAATATACAAATAAAGTAAAAGTAACGCCGAATCTGTGCAACGGTATTGCCAAAATACCACAATACGTAAACGAATCACAATATTTTATTCTAATTCAAATTCAAAGAAATAAATTAGCGCATACGGCTGCTACGACATTATACTTTAACCAGCATTTATAATTTTTTCAGGAATAAGTACGTCTTTAGATGATTCTTGAGAAAGACGACCTGATTACCTTTTTCAGGGTGACTTCTGTGTTTCGTGAAACAAATATGTCCATTTAACACATTTAAAACATTATTTTCCATATTAAGTATACCTAAGACATTTGTCAAATTACAAGTGTGGTATAACAATAGAATTAAGCTAGTCAAATAAGATTTACCTACTTTTAATGAGATAACCACCGTTGCTTCAGTGCTTCATTCATGAATTCGGCGTTACCTCGTAAAAATGTTCTCAATTACATTTCATCTGCTAAATTAAGGGTAATATGACACGATGCCTCAGGTACACCGAATATAAAACATCATAAAGTAATATGTTTGTTATTGCATTTAAAGATATCAAGGACATTGTTCGATCAATATCTCCGGTATATCAAATATCAAAAATGTAATATCATAGAGTTATTAGTTTTGACGCCCTTAAGCTGTTTAACTAGTGCATTTTTTATATTTAATTTGATCATTAAATAAAATACAATATAAAGTTACTATGGCATGTTGTTTATCACTGCAAACCTTTTTTATGTTTGTAAAAAGTTCAAAATCACTGAAGTTTTGTACTTAAGTAAACTGACCCTGGAGGCATCCATTGTTGTTTACAGTCATATGAAATGACGCCTTTTCATTGGGTGGTTATTTTTAAAGGATATTTCACTGTAATGCAATATGTACAGCAAAAGAAGTTTTTAAATGAGCTAACATTTAATGTAACAACATTGTGAAAACTTAAAATTATGTTTTATTGCATATAAAACTGTCCATTATTTGGGAATGCCATACACCCTGGCAGTCGTCTTAATAGGTGCACCTGTTTCTTTAAGCTTGAATGTATTTACCAATAATCTTGATGAATAGCATCTGCTTTTGGCTTACAGAGCTGAAAAATATATCTAAAATGAAAGGTGTTGTAAAGATATGTATATGTTGATTTAAGAAATGATTTTTTTTCTTTCTTTTTTAAACTTTATATACGATAATCAACCCATTATGAATTTTACTCAGTATCAATTAAAAACCAAATTACGTTTTCAAACAATATAAGCTGTACACCTTTTGCAACAGGGAATATTAAGGGCACTTTGCAAAGTTTTGGTCACATGTCACTCATTAGACATTTTAAAATGGAGGACAGAAACAGAAAAGGGCAGGTCAAGATTTTTCAAAGGCTGTATTTGCAAAATTAAGGCTTGCATAAACATTGATTGATTTTGCATTAGTAAAAAGATGAAAAAATACAGTAAATTTGATAAAGGTGAAGTATTTTTAGTGAAATGTCTCTGTCTTTCCAAATGTTTTAGTTATACGTTGTAAATACATGGTTGCAGTGCAGTCAGCAAATTATGACGTCATACGAGGTCGTTTTCACCAATTCTTAGGTCAAAACAAAAAATGGCGTCAAAATAGATGAGCGTCAAAACACATGATTTGACGATATATACGTTATGTTATTTTTACATGTCGACAAAACACAAGACGCTTGTCAGGTCGTCATTTTCACGAATGATCTTGAAAAATGAAAACATTCATGGAAATATTTTTGATGAGGTCTCAGCATCCGTATGCGCTTATTGATTTCTTCCAATATGGTGTACAATAAAAATATTGGTCATTTTACTTATCACGGTGCTCGTTTTAGCCACTAAATTGCACAATTTCGTGTTACTTTTGCACAATTCCTGCGTTATTTGCACATTCCAGCGTTACTGGATATACACGGTGATGTATGTTTACGGCAAATAGCAATGTAAAACCGTGATTCTTTGGATAAAAATTTCACTACCTATGGTAAATTAGTGATCAAATACATTTAATAGTATATAAAATAGAAAGATACGGTTCCTGAGATATTATATTTCGAACCTCATTAAAATATTTTTAGAGTGGAGGATATTTGTTTTCCTAAGATCATCCGTGAGAATGACGAACTTGCTCGCGTAATTTTGTTTTGCGACATGTTATACAATAACGTATATATTACATTTTTCATATCCGATATACCTGAGACATTGATCGAACAACTAGTTTCACAAATTACTGAAATTAGCAAAATGTGACACAGAAAATTTATTTATTTATCACGCCGATTTCGTGAACAACGTTGATTACCTCTTAAATACCTTAATCACATTTCGCAAATGTCTCAAGTATTCAGAATATCTAAATAACACATTTATGCTTAATTTTAATTTTTCTTATTAATATCGACGGAACACACAGTTGACTGCACAACTGTTGTGTATATAACGTTTATCCAATGAAATGTGACGTCACAAATGTGCAGTATTATAGAATGTATTATAAGTCTGATTGACGTAAACAAATTGTATACTACGCCCTTCATACTGCAAAGAACCGACGTACAACAAACAACATTATATAATAACATCGTAGACATTTAACTACGTGTGTCTAGAAAAGATTGGTTATTGTGTTTTGCTCTTAACGGCATATTTTTAAAATTATGTCATTACTTCTTAACAATAGCTATATTCTCCGCAGTGCACGGTCCCGTGTCCGAGTAATCATGTCGTGGATAACTATTGAAAAGAAACGGTTAAATAGACAAAGCAAGAATGATGATGTTTGTTATAATAGTGATTTTTTTTAATTTATTGTCTCTCTTTTGTTTAAGATATTGACGAATGTAGCAACAGCACACATGGATGTCAACATGATTGTGAAAATACTGATGGCTCTTACCGTTGTACATGCAGAAATGGTTTTATCCTTAATTCGGACCTCAAGGCATGCTTGGGTATGAAGCATTCATATTTTTAATGACATGATGTTTATAACCGGAAACAATTAATAAAGAGCTACCTATTACACAAAGTGTATCATTCTCCAACGTTTCGAGGGGTTAAACCCCTTGTTTATCAAGATGTTTGCTGTGTATTTTATAAATAACATACTTATCTTCTTTTATTTTATGCTTTTCAGTGGATTATTGATTTATCCGTAAAAATTATATTTGATAATTTAACAGTGAAAAATATCAAAATATAATTTCAAACTTTTCAATGACGAAACTTCGTTTTTATGATTTTCCCCATGTGGTACCTCAATTTTATTTTTTGCTGACAATTCTGACAATGTCAGGCTGTTTAAAGAAAAGAAAGCTGAAATTGGTAATGACTTAAACGTCAAAAGTAATAAAAAGAAGAAAACTTACTTCTATTCATTCAAATTACCAATCACAAAACATCGTCTCTTCACTTTTTTGTTTCATTTTAACAGTCTGAAAAGTACACTCCTATCACATGCAAAATTGCTCTTGATGACATTTGGGCATATTTAAGTATCCTACGAGCAATAACTGCCGTATGCTTTATGAAAACTTAAAAAGCAATGACAGCCATTAGTCCGAAGAATAAGTAAACAACCCAGCGTTCGTAAGGCAGCATTCCAAGTTTTCCAATTTCCTAGCCGCTTTTTGAATGTTTACACAACTGTCAACACTTATCTATTGTCTGTTACAATCTTTAAAAAGTTTTCTTTCTTTTAAAAAGGTGTATGACTAACAAATCCAAATGATATCCGTCTGAATCAAACACAATTATTTTCCTCCAGTGAAATACACAGCTTTTAAAAATGGCTGCCGCTTACATTTAACAAAGCCAGGTCTTATATAAATTCGCAGTAAGTAACAGAAATATGGATGGATGGTTGGACTTTTTCGCCCTCTAGAATTGTTTGCGTTTATTATTAAAACAAGCGATCATTTATATTCTTTTAATAAAATGAATAATATCACCGCCATTTAACGTTGATTGTCGAACTTTTTTGCAGCCCAAGACTTCTTGTATTTAATTCGAAATTCGATTTTTTTAGGCTCTCAATGGGGAAAAACAGTTTTTTATATTAAAGTTGATATTAAGGAAATTTTGTTTTAACTTGTTTTTAAGCATAAAATAAAAAGAAAATTTGTTTGTTTGTTGTGTAAGATGTAATTTTATTTCATCTCATGAACTTAAAAAACGAGTGGCGTAGCCACGAGTGAGAATACTGTTTTTAAAGCCCACTCGATGAAATAAAACTTCATCTTACACACAAACAAACAAATATCCTCTATATCCTACACTATGTTATGTAAACATGAAATGACATTGTTGACGTCAACAATTTGAATTACGTAAAACGTGATAATGACGTTTTTCGTCAAAATGTCAACTGCATAACGGTGTACCCCTTACTATACTTTTTAAATATCCTCTATTTCATACACTTAATCTCATGAGACCACAATACGATACTGAAAATCTCGCATGTTTATTTTTTCAATACTTCAATTTAATTACCGCTACTTTTTTATTTTCAAAATGCATGTGCTAATTATTGCGAATAAAAACAACCAGTTACTAAATTTGAAGTATTAGTTATTGCAATTATAGTTCTATTTATTTGAACAATGATGACTTTGACAGTACCGTCCATGAACAGGCTCAATCAAACCCAGTCTGCAACATTTTCAATTTTGGCGTGTTGGGCTTTCTTTCGGGATTCTTATGTTTTCTATTTTGTAAATTTATCACGATATTTTGAGTATTATTTACGAATTGTCTCATACTCGTGGTAAGGCAATTTGTCCTTTAATGCATTTAGTAAAATATATATGCTTGAATATAGTACTATGTCATCAGGAATTTAATAACGTAAATCTATTATTACAAGACCTGAACGAGTGCAATGTCAACAATGGTGGATGTAGTCACATTTGCAACAACAATAATGGATCCTTCTCGTGTAGCTGTAAGGACGGATATAACCTTAGCGCAGACGGACGATCATGTTATGGTAAAATTCATGTTACGTTCTGTTACCCCGGTTCACATGCACACAAAATATACATGAATGTAATACAAACATTTAATGAATTTTCCCAATATAATTTGACGACAGGTTTCTTTACATAATCAGAGTTAACTGACCATCAAATACATGTAGTTACAATTGAAGTTATTGTACCTAACTCTGTAGCATATATTAGAACATTTCGATGTATAACATTAAAAAGAAGATATCAAACTATTATAAAAACAAAAGTACATACATGTATATGTCAGCGATGGGCAAACAAAGCACATGTTTTGCACTTGATTGCCATTTAACATTTCATAAACATACCAAACATGGATGATAAGCTATTATAACTTGTTTTTTATTGAAGCATTTTAAAAATAAAAAATCATTTTATGATACATGTTTGGGTATTTGGTATTTTCTAAAATATTCGGTCTTTATATGGTACACATTATTTTTATAAGAAATAAGTTATAAAAAGAAGGAGAAATATACATGTAAAAACCAAATCCTCATTACGATAGTAGTTGTTTGAAATGTTTAAGATGTAGATGAATGCAGTCTCGGAACAGCGGCTTGTTCTCAGAATTGTACAAACACTGAAGGTTCATTTACTTGCTCATGTAACAATGGATATACTTTAGGTGTTGACAGACATTCATGTGAAGGTATGCCAATTTTACAATCTAAAAGAAACTTTTAATAAACAAGCATTTCATTATAAAAAATCTAGCACATATGTTATTTAAGATACAGAAAATTAGAAAGTTGAAAGTTTGCAATGGGGTCCTAAAGTACAAAATACATTTTTTTTTATTTTGATAATAAAAACAAATTGATTTAAGTGTTTCTTAAGTAACAACTAAATTCTATCTTAGTACTAAATCTCAGCTTTGACGTACCAGTTGAGTTATTTTGTATACTACCAATTCTTATTAAAATATTTCAACAAGGAATCAAAGTTTTATTTTTTCAATGTTTTATTTGTATGCATAGATGTTGACGAATGTGTTGAGGAAACAGCCACGTGTGAAGGTTACTGCAACAACACCAATGGGTCTTACACTTGTTACTGTGATTCTGGTTTTATCCTTGACAATAATGGATATTCGTGCAAAGGTTTTTGTCTGTCTATTTTATCTCCATTTTATCCATGTCTCATTTAAAAGCTTTAGAATATAAAAAAATTTAATATTACATTGATAAATAAATAAAAATTTACGTTTGTCAGTCCAATATACTTTTTATTATTACTGATTCTGGCATTCTCGCTTTTTTATTCCTAATTTAGTTCTTGGTTGTTGTTTTTGTTGCACCGGTGTTTTCATTAGGTGATATTGCAGCTTTTCATCTCACTTGGTGACAAAAGACTTTTGGAGGCCTGCTTGCATTTTTTTCAAGAGTAGGAGAACCGTATGGTTGTCGGATAGTTTCTTTTAAAACTCAAGGGTGCGTGACCGGATTTGACCTATAGTAAGAAGCAAGTTGCAATGAACATTCGAAAGAAGAGGCACACATTAGTATTTTCCGATATTACACACCTCCTCTATTGTTTGTGACAGGTCTATATTTTTCGGATAGACCTGTTTAAACAAAAGAAAGTCCGTTATGAGGTCTATCTTTTGCACGTGCACAGGTCTGTTCTAGTCCGACAGACCCGGTCATGAAAAACACGTGAAAAAATAGTCGACCTGCTTATGCGAACACAAAGAAAACATGAACGGCAATCAAAAATTGAAAAGGAAAATAAAATGTAAATCATTGTCATAATATTCCTGTCTTACAAAATCTGGATACAAAATAATGTTCCCCTGAAAACCTTCGAATCCAGGGCTTAGTTTCTAGGAATGCTACACTACAACGTTAAAGATATAATCCAAAAGTTGCTTATAGTGACATGCATATACAAGTACTTAAAGTGGATTGGTCTAAATTGGGCACATCTCCCATTGGTTATAAAAATAGCGATAGAAACGATTCGGATATTATGAAAAGAAATCTTGAAAAAGAAATGTTAATGCAAAGTTAGTGATTTAGTATAACAATTTATATGATGAGCGATCATATTTTATTCTATAACACATTATAATCGGATCATGATTCTCACACTTGCCAACAATTGACATATGTAAGTATTTCCTGGTCTGCTGGGTATCCGGACATTTGCCACTCAGACAGTTGTTCCCTCGGAAGTTTTCTCCCTTTTGCAGTAGCGGACATTTGCCCCTTCATATCTTTGGAAGATTGGACGTTTGCTCCCCCCATGCTTTAAAAATGTTAAAAAAAATAATAATTTTGAATTGTTTATTACAAAAATTCATCATCGTCTTTTGTCGAAATTCTAATTGTGCTTAAATAAACAAAAACTGTGCAAATTTGTGAAAACAAATTAGCATCCATAAATAAATAAAATAAAATACATAATATTCATACGCGAGATGACCACTGACAAGTAACAATTCGCCACAGCATAAAAGGAGCACGCGTCCGAGAGGACAACTCTTCGCGGGAGGAGGCAAATGTCCTAGAATTTGCAATGTCTCATACGAAATACTATCAACATAATTATTCATTCTTTTACATACCTGCCATTGCAGACCCATTCTCTTTACTATTGACAAATTGCACATTTACCTTTTTTGATTATTATTTTAAAAGGAAAAACAGAGTTAAAAGCAAGATATGTATTATATTTAAGCAGAACGTTGATAAAAGCTTACCTGTAAATGAGCTGTGTTGAAAAATAATCTTTGTGCATTACATCAAATGTTTTAGATCAGCCATTGCTCGAGCCAATAGTTTGACGGTGTGTAAGTTGGATATCGGCCTCGTACATCGATCTTTCTGTTTAGGAAAGACCTCGTACTCGGTCGATATCCTATACATAAATATTTATAATATCACAAGTGGTTTCTTGAAAGAACTTGTTTCAATAATTTAGATATGAATGAATGTGACACTGGGAACGGAGGGTGCGGTCAAATATGTTACAATGAGCCAGGTTCGTATAGGTGCGAATGTCGAAAAGGTTTTACAACTGTTCATTCAAGCACAAATAGTGAAGTGTGCAAAGGTAAGAACGAAATGATCGATTATAGAAAAAAATGCTTATTGAAGATTAACATCATCACAAATTAATTCAATACATCTATTGCCGATAAATCTCTTGTAAACTTATGGAGATTACCTTTTTACTATCGCATGTTTTGTTCCATTCATAATTCATCCCTATGAATGTTTGCCAATACAATAATTAGTTTTAACGTAATATTCAAGTAATAACAGAACACTATTGCTTATTAGACCTAACTGTGCTTGCTTTATGTTGTAGTTGTGTGTGTACTGTAAATTAAGTTTTGATTTTTCTTACCACTTACAGATATAGATGAATGCATGGAATCAAGCGCATTATGTTCTCAAGTTTGTCACAATACAGAAGGTTCCTTTACGTGTAGTTGTTATCCCGGATTTAACCTGGACAGAGATGGTGTATCTTGTCAAGGTTAGTACGCATACATTATATAAGGTAATATTTCAACACGAGCGGTGAAAGAGAAAGGACTGAGCACTATTTCTAAATACTCGAATTCCGATTGAAGCTGTTTTTACATACTGTATCTGTTTCTCTCTTACTTTTTTATATGTTATTAGCAGTTAAAATAAAATCACTCGAAATGCTTTTGTGAATGCGCTGAATTAATTGCTGAATTGAATTATGTCAAATATCATAGGGTTATCAATAACAAATTCAAAAAATAATTGCAATGTTTTTGATTCAACAAGCAAAGTCTCAATTTTATTTCAGACGACGATGACTGTGAAGGTGTTGTATGCATGAACAAAGGAACATGTGTTGATGGATTGAACAAATACACGTGTACGTGTGAAACAGGTTTCCGTGACAAGCATTGTGAAACAGGTAACGTTATATAATTCATAGCATAGCCACCTAAATTTCATTTATTACAAGTAATCTATGACATTTCACTAAGTGCCGAAACTATCTTTGATTTAGTAGATGACTGTTCCATTAGCGGTGAATTGTTCCGCGTTGTAACTATGAATCTAGTTTCCATAGCAAGCATTCGGAAAAAATCTTAAAGTTGTTCAAACTTGTTTTATAAATATAGAATAAAAACCAGCTTTTACCCGTACCAAAGATGCTACTTCAATTTTCCCAACCTTACTTTCATCATTCCGTGTCTTGTTATTGTCGAATTTTGTTTATTTATAACTCAAGTACGTTTTATAATAATCGTCAACATCCTCGATTGATCAGACTTCTAATTGCCTGTTTGGTCTTCTATGTCTTTTTCTTACTTAATTGGTCTTTTTTGATCAAGTTATTCTCATCACATAAAAGTACTATCGATACAAATTAATTTGATTACGATTTAAGATATAAATGAGTGCGAATTTGCAAATGGCGGATGCCAAGATCTATGTGAAAACACAGAGGGTTCGTTTCGCTGCAGTTGTTTGGAGGAACGACAGCTACGTGAAGATGGGTTTTCTTGTGTTGTAGGTAAGCTGATTGATAACGAAAAAAGTTACTAGACTTAAATACTATGTATTTGAAATAACTTACAATTATACAACTGGCTCAATAAAATTTCATTGTTAAATAATTTACTCAGGTTTAATCGATATAATGAATTTCATGCACGTTTATATAAGGAGTATAATGTTGAGAGTATTATATATAGTGTACGATTCATTGTTAAGGATAAAACAAAAATTTAGAGCTCTGAAATTAATATAAAAAACATCTATCGAGTCATGTAGCATTCGATATAGATTTTATTAGTTCTTCAACTAAGATTATAATTAGTTTCCTAATGTTTCACCTTAGGGGAAGTAAGAAAGCAGACTGTGTTTGAACGGCTAAAAATTCCCCGACAGCACCTGCCAAAGCCATGTTTTACTGTAATGCTTACCCAATGCACAGGCGGAAATGACATAACCATTTATTTAAGCTCAACATCGAACTGGTATAAACTGACTGCAGATCAAAGCGTTATGTTCACACTCGGTGTGGTCTTTGTTAACGTGAACAACTTCTCTGTCCCAATATCTATAAAGGGAATTGAGATGATTGTTCGAAATAACGAGTTCACGTTAAATTATGGGGTGACGTACGAATTGACTCAAGGAATAAGAATAGAAAGCGGAAAAGCAGACAATGAATGTATACAACTTGAACTTGTTGAAAGTGATACTTTCGATTTCATAAGCAAGAACTCTTTTATGAAGACGTTATTATTTTTGCTCTCTCCTGTCATTCCATCCTGGCTAAAATTTGACAAATCAAGCACCGAGGTTCTGTCTATTCAAGATACAAAAAGTTCTCTTGTTTATGGTAGAGACATGGATGATGTTTCGTGGTGTGATGGAGCTCCTGTTATATTCAATCATTTGTACACAGTATTCACGTTTGGTACGGGATTTCAACTCAGCGTTTTCGGTAAAAATGTCGACATACCTAAACCATTTAGTTCGCGAAAGTTTTGCTTGATTGTCGACTTATGTCAACATTTCGGCGGGACAGTGTTTTTAATGTTACCAGAAGGATCGCGAGATATGTTATTAGACATAGACATATTTTCAGCACTGAAGAAGCAACAACAGTTATATATTCTTCCACGAGGAATCGGATTTTCACTCTCAAAGGGGATCAATTCAAAATACCACACTTTATCTGGACAACTTTGGAATGGAGATACAATGTTTACACCGTACGTTTAAAACACCTAAGGCTTGTGTATTTCTCTTCTTTTAATTCATCAATGTCCGTTATATTGAAATGATAAAATCTATTACAATATTGTTATTCTTAAACCTGAACTTGATCGATGAAAAGCGTCTTTGATATTTGTTGTTGAATATGACGTTTGTTTCCTCTGTGGTTGGTTTTATACCTGATTTTTGATTGTTTATTATTTAATTATTTAACTCAAGAAAATTATTTTCAGAATACAACCGAACGTGAATTTCTGGATTGGTGGTGTCATGAGAATAGATTTTACAATTTTAACATTAAGTTTAACATTTGAAGGGAAGGCTGATATTTACATCGGTTTTCCAAACGTTCAAACTGTGAGTGCATTATACAATGTTTTGCAAACGCATTCAGTTAAGTTTAGTAAATGAATAAACGTCATTAAAACTATTATGTAGTCAGATGTTTTAGGTCCGAACGGATTTGATCACATCTTTTAATCGGAAGGCAGCACAGAAAGCCTCTATTATATTGTAGTCAGTCATTGCTTTTTAAACGTAAGAGCTGTAACACAATATATATCGTCAATTCCAATTAAATAAAACATGGATTTATTTTCTACTGTTAAATCATGTTTGTTTCAATTTGTAGATGTTAACATCAATGTTTGTAGAAGAATGGGCAGGGTTAATGGACATCCAGCTTTCTCTGTCGCTGAGATTGCCTATATTTGGGGAAAAACATTTGGTTACATTTTCATTACTCAAGTCTACAGTCAATGCGTATTTTTCCATAGGAGGTAATGCAATATATAAATTCATATATAAAGCCAAACAAACTGGAGGTAAATTTCATATACATTTTCTGTAGATACAAAATTCAAGAAAAGCAACTATATTAAAAAGAAGATTGCTTTTGTTTATCCGCTTTTAACCAGTCGAATTTTGTAGACTTTTGTATTCTTCTATTAATATATATATTTTTTTACATTAAAAAGGTTATAGTCGCCAATCGTGTGGAGATGTTTCCAACCCAGAAGGAATGTTTTTCTCAGTGATGGTTGAATTAAACCCATTTAAAGGAATACCTTTTCTGGAAGACTTCGTTTTCTCGTCAGTTAATCGTATGCATTTGTTAATGATTACGGATCGACAAGATAAATCTTCAATGGGAACACAATTTAGTATAACGAACGATATACTTGAATTGGACAACTTTCTGAACAATGCCACAGATATAATTGATGAAGCGTTAGTCAACACCGAACTAACAATGTCAAATGCATTAACAATAATTATTTTAAAAATTAAAGATACCTTTGATATAATCAAGTCTGTTGTTAGAGTGCATTTGAATGGTTTATTCACTCGAGACATAAAAAAGATGATACAACATATTGATGGTATCCGGCAAAATCTAGAACATATTAGATCATCAGTTAATGTTTTAATAGATGAAACTGAATTCATTATAAGTGAAGCAAAAGATCGGTTTATTAGACTCCTAGAAAAACAAGTCAACATCATTGAAGAAAATGTTCGTAATATAACGACTTACATAACGAATATTATTTCGTCTTCTGTTGGGTACCCCACGGGGTTAGGGTTTAAGTTTACATCGGATTGGACATTTTTGGGGTTAAAATTTATTGGATTCGACTTTGAAATGATATATTCAGAGAGTGACCTGTTTAAATGTAGCAGGTTTAAAGAAGTTAATAGATTATTAAATGGAGAAAAGGCTTTACGCGTCCTTGCAAGAAGCTCTTTAGGCTACAAATTAGGCAGATTTTTAAATCTTGAGATTGGAAATGGTTTGGGCATGGCATTTTCAACAAAAACGCTATATGTTCTCGTGCAATTGCAAGCGCATATACAAATGTTAGGAATGGAAGTGACTGGAGATATCTTTATCAGCACTAAAGTTGGTCTTTATTTTTATCTCGAAGGAAAAGTTTGGAACACTTTCTTAGCTCAAATTGACGTTGTGGCGGATGCTGGAAAAGCTTGGGATGAACTGACGTTTAAACTTAGCGGAAGATTTGTTGCAAGTGCAAGAAAGCGCCGTGGTTTGAGCACAGAAACGTCATCGTTACAACACAACCATCTAAAGGTTAAGAGAATACGGAGACAAGTACAAACAGACAGTAATTCGTTCCAAGACAGTTATCTAGATGGTTTAAAGAAAGTCATTAGACTGATTTCTGAGGAAGCACAAACACGATTGACCCAAGTCCAGAACGCGCTTACATCCGCTAAAAATTGTTTCACTCAGGCACAAGATTGGTTAGACAAAAAGCAAAATGACATTAGAGATGCTAATGTAGCTTTCAACAATGCGGTAGGAAAACTCGAAGAAGCTAATGAAAACCTTGAAAGAACAAAACAGCCCTTAAATGAAGCAATGCTGGAAATGGAAAATGCAAAGAAAGATATCAATAATCTGTGTAAAATAAGGACTTGCAAAAAAATATGCATATCTGGTTTTAAATGCAAAATGTGCTCTAAAAAGGATTTTTTTGGTAAAAGTTATTACCCATGCTGCAGATTTACAAATTGTATGCTTAGTTTTCCTGATCCAATTTGCGTCATAGCTAATATAGCTTGCCAGATCACCCGGGATGCGGCTTACCTAGTTCTAGAAACTGCAAAAATATTTGTAAGAGGTGCGATGCTTGCGAACGATATTGCTAGATCGACAGTATCATATTATCAGTTCGTAGTAGATAAATCTCGCGCCGTTTTAGTAGCAGCAGAGGGGATTTTAGAATTAGCTAAGATTGGCCAAGATGTAGCAATTGACAATTTGGAGGCAGCAAAAGTAGCTTTAGAAGCAGTAAAAAACGTCATAGGCGCCGCTGCTAAAGTTCTTCAGTTTGTTATAGATTATGGCAAAAAGAATGTAATAGATGTCAAAAATTGTGCATTTGATATTACAATGTCAATTAAAGACCTCCCAGTATTTGAAGTTTCATGTGAAGTAAATGCTTTTAAACTGGGTTGGACAAAAATAAAACTAAAGATAAATTTTAAAAACATACACCAGAGTATTTGGCAGGCAGCGAGGGCAACAGTTACGGCTATAATTGATGTATTTGGCGAAATATTTTCCAGTCGTAAGCGCAGAGATATAGAAATTGTAGCGTCATCGAGGATTTATATGCTGATTCGTCAAGCGCGAGAATCAGATGACGCCAACAATACTATATATAATCTTAACAAAACGATTGATTTGAGTAAAAATATTAGTGGTTTTCATGGATCGGCAGACAGCGATTTTGAAAGTAGGGTAGAATTAAAGAGAAATGTATAGCAATAACATTGATACAGGATTTTATGCAAGACGCTTTTAATTATTTGCAAGAAGTTGTAAATGAATCGAAAGCTTACATTGGAGAAATTGACAAAGCTAAGAGGCAGATTCAAGAGTTTAGCAGTATAAATGTAACAGCTGAAAATATGACAAGTGACAGCTTTGGAATAAGTAGCGAATATGCTGCGGTCGATTATAATATGACACAAAATGACATTTATAAAGCAATTAATGATACAAAAAAGGCAGCATCGGAAGATCCATTGTTAACTGAAATTCAGATAGCAGTAGGTGGAATGAATAAAGCCGTTGATGATGAAATTGTATCTCTTGAAAAGATTGACTTTAGAAATACTTGGTTTACATCGTTGATAAATATGACAAAGGATTATTTCAATAACTCGGAATGCGAAAACTTCCAAGACTGTATATTCTACTCCATTTCTAACTTGTATGTCCTTTATGAATCAGAGAATTTTCCAAACATATCAAGCATACAAGATTCCATCGTTGATCTTGAAAATTTACTGATTGAAATATTTCAGAACGAATCTTTCTCCGTAATTGATACATCAGTGGCATATGAAAATGCACTGTTTCATATTAACAAACTTGTAAGCATGAATTTGTTTTGTTCAGATGCTCCGAAGTTTGTGAAACAGCTACAGAACCAGACTGTTCTATACGGCAGCAACGTGACGTTCTTTTGCAATGCTGCAGGTGACCCAGAACTAGATTTCATTTGGCTTGTGAATGATACTATCATCCCTGGAGAAAGTTCCAATGTGCTGACCGTTTTAAACGTTACCGAAAATGATTCTTACGAAAAGTACAACTGTATGGCTGGGAATATTGTTGCTAATATCACCTCTTCTGATGCTTATATAAGTATCAAAAAACAAGGTAAATTCATATTGCGGCATGTTAATGGATAACAAGGTAAATATTATGAAATAACTGGATCTCTTAAATGATTGAATATCGTAAATTGTTATTTTTGAATTGAACCAAATATTATTTAAAATCGTTGGCGCAAAATACGGAGAAAAGTTTTGTAAAAAATCATTTTTGAGTATATAGATTTTTGGGTATTTACAAAAATGTGAATGAGTAAAAAAACATGATGCATAGAGAAGATTAATACATGATTAATGAATACATTAAAATACATATCACATGCTATTTTACAGTATTACCAGCCAGTGCTAATCCATGTGACCTAGGGGAACAGCTCACACTACAGTGTGATAATGATAGTGATTGTCAGGTTGTGGGCAACAAGCCAACTTGCCGGTATGACAAAAGAAACTTTTAATAATAAAGTGTTACAATTTCCTACTTCAGTAGAATGACTTGCCATATCGTCATCATGTAATAAAGGTTATTTATTAGTTTACATGCTTTCCAGTAGACAGTGAAAAAATATTTTGTTTGCTTTAAAGTGAAATTATCAACAAAAACAAAATAATTATAATAATTATATGATAAGAATTTTCACAGCATTTGGACTATATTTGAATGCGAATAAAAAGTAAAATTACGTAACTGAATACAGGCTTTCTCACTTAGTGAACATGATTACGATAAATACATACCAATCTGTATATTTAAAGATATAAATGTAAATAAAAACATCACAATGATTAAACAGTAATTAGCATAGCATAAAATAAACAAAATAAAATTATATTTTGCTTGAATTTTTTTATAATAACAACGTGACATCATAACATGATTTTCATGACGTCCTAAAAACAACGTGACATCATAACATGATTTCATGACGTCATATATGAGAGCGATAAAAATCAGGAAAAAAAGCCTTAAGCATTGCTAATTTTGTATGTATTCACTTTTTACCTTGTAAACACTAGCTCGTAATGTAATTTAACTTGTGGCTACACCAGTCGTGAAAATACTCTATTTAAACTTGTAACTAAGCTACTTTTGAAAATAGTACACTTGAGAAAACAAAGCTCTAGTTTACAATATTCCATTCAAAATAAGAACAATGTTTTATTTTTTAGGCAAATACACGAAGAAAATATCAAAGGTAATACAATTAAAACTTTTATGCAACCTTTATGGATACTTTGTATTTCATATAGTATAAATAAAAAAACATCTATCGATTGTAATAAAAAATAACATTATTTAAGTACAAAATGTTACTTTTTATTTCCCCCAAAACTATCATTTAAAAGCACTTTATGGTTCAGAAATCCATATTTTAGAATTCTTTAAAAATGCCAAACATGTGTTTGATAATGTTTTAATAACGGGTTAAGAGCATTCAACAACAGTTACTGAAAAAATAGTCCTGAACTTGCAGTGATGTGTCGTAAAAGTTGCAAAATGTAAACAAAGTGGTATATTGATTTCCATACAAAATACTTTTTACATACAAATAATATTTTAAATATACCATTTGCAAACAAAGCAAAATCATCAAAAGATAGTGTATGTATTTGACAAATGTGTTTTATTTTTGGAAACTGTGACAAGATATCAAGGATAAAAAGTTTCTGAGAAATCAAAAATTATAGCATTTCTAAGTTTTTAAATTTGGGATCAATTATCTTTACCTTAAAATATTATTTGATCAAATGATAACCATATGTATATCAACCAATTTTGAAGAAGATTACTACCCACATTGATATTATTTTCGTCGTCATCATCATCATTTTCAGTATCATATCTACAAAGCGCTATCTAAAAATAACTGTTTTGAGCATAGAAAAATGAGACTATTTGACATTTAAATAAAATATTAGCAAAAAATTATACAAATTGATAGTTTTATTGTTTAGTATTGAAACATGAATCATATCATACGATTATCTTTTTGAACGAATAATATGTTAAAGCAATTGTGTTTTTGCTTAGATACTGGTAGGATGTTCATTCCAAAGTTCTTTGGCAATGCTCCTATTGCATTTTGTCGCCGCTTCGCTTCTTTGAATAACTATTAATAAAAATGTTACTAAAACATTGAGTCTCCTTTTACAAACTGTACTACCTAAAAGTTGTTAACATAAGAGAATCCACGGGGGCATCGAATGCATATGGAACGATTTTGCACTGAATTTGACGTCCTACATATAACCATTGGAGATCCTGGATTAAATGTATCTTTTAAAGAAGAAAAGTGGTGAATATGGATAGTGTAAATTTTTAAAATGCATATTGCAGAGGAGGATTATCTCATCATTGTTGGACTGGTCTTGGGAGTTGCTGCCGTCTTAGTGACAGTGATATTGTTGATCGTTTGTGTGTTGCAGAAAACAAACTGTCGGAAAAAGTTGTAAGTTGATTCAAATATGTAATCGTAAGTCAAACAATATTTATTGCAGTCCACGTATCCAAAGTTAATGAATGCTTCTGCCCTTAACGAGAAAACGATTGGTGGAACTTAATAAAATGGAGTTTTGAAAGGGGATCAGAGGTTATGAAGGATACATATTACAGATAAGCTGCCATAAGACACATTAAAAAGCAGGCATCATATCCTTAGGGTGAATAAATGGTATTTGAAATGAGAGAATACTGGAACCACCCAACTAAAAAGTAGCCGAGAAGTCTACAAGGACAATAATAATGTGGTGCTAAACGATATTTAAGGATCGGAAATACACATCCCTGATTGGATATACGAGGCAACAATGTTGCAAGATCGGTTTGATTGAGTTTATTCATTGACGGTACTGGAAAGGGCATGTTACCGTCCACGCCACTTAACAACGACTTAAACAGTATTCAACATTTTACATGAAATGCTAAAATGTAACCATTTTTACTTTTTTATTTTTATATGATGTCATTTAAATATTTTAACTTAAAGTTTTCTATTTAATTACAATTGCAGGTGGCCACACAAAGGAAACTCTTCACGTGAATCAGGTTTGTTAAACAATATTTAAAAAAAATTATCTTCATCAAAAAAGAAGGAAAGAAGATAACCGAAAGCTAATTAACCTTTGATTTTAGCTATCATTATTCATCTTGGAAGCATTTAGCCTAAGTATTATTCTATTCATTTAAAAAAACATCTTGCAATAGTTGTAAGTATTCCAATAAGATACACTGGAAAATTTATTTTCCGAAATAAATGTATCGCCTGTTTTAATTATTTTGTTACGATCCGCACAGGCCCTATACGTATATATTCACGCTCGATCCAGATAACTCCATTTTTACTGGTATGCAGAGTACAATCATGCACTTATTCAATAAGGTAACATAATTATTAAGATTAATTTTGTGAAAATGACAAATTTATATCACCTTAGATTTCGCTGCAGGTTAAAGTTTTTATTTCATTTGTCATGGCTTGAATGATAATAAATGAATACGTGAATTATTTCTGATTTTCTTGTGGACAGGAGAACATATAGCACTACCTTACCTGAGCTGGAGGAATCTCCTCAGAATGACCCCCCACATTCAAAAGGTAACAGTCTTACAATAAATATCACAAGTGAAGATTTTATTTATTCACCACATTTCACGGTCTATTACAAACAATTTTTCCGACATTAAAAAGAAGAAATAGAAAAGCGGTTGTCGTTAAACTGTTTATGAATATTTTTAATTACGTATATTGATATTGTTAGATTAAATGAAGAAAGAGAAAAAGAAAGGATTAAAATGAAAATCAATTTTTTTAATTCAGACTTGAATAATATTATCTAAGATATTCATCATTTAGCACAGACAACATGATCGGGCTATAGCAATTACAGTGGTTAGGTATATATTGCTGCTAATTAGTACATATAATATAGGTAACGTTTTGTTGTTTTAATTTTGCATCGACAGAAAATGTTGTAATTGTTGTTTTTGTTTTTTAAAGGCAAATGGTAGTCATGCAGAGCAGTAGATGTGAAATGAAGACGACTTCAAATTAATATAGTTTTGTATAGGTATGTATTTTCATTCCCTTCAGTTGCCGGGGTTATCTGATAAATTGTCTTCTTATATGGTTATATTGTAAGGCATGCGTGTTTCGTATCTGATGCATTTTTATTCATTTATCTTAGTAATAATCTCATTTCCAAATTAAAGACATTAGTTTTCATTTGTAACAGAAAAATGCAATTCCCACTGTCGTTTTTATTTACTGAAATTCTATTACACAGTATTGCATTATTTAGAGTAGTTTTCATAAAATAATAAAATTAGATATTATCTTACTCTATATTATTTAACTTAATATTGTTAAATTGTTCTTTAATAATTTCTCATTTACTTTAAGCAGGGTCTTTCAAATAGAGATCTATTTGAAAGACCCTTAAAGACTCTGCAGTAAGGTTTTTGTTCTTTTATTTTTACAGACGGGTGAAAGTGGTCAACAAATCAATATTGGATGTCATTAGCTGATGTCTTACCACCATGACCAGATGCTTAAAGTGGGATTTTTTCAAAGGAATTTATATACTTCATAGACGGCTTATTACTTCAGACATTCATATAATGTATGCTTATTCTTTAGCAGCGCCATCTATATCATAATTATTTTTATGTCAGACATGGTATTTCTGTAATACTTTGCTTATTTAATTTAGTATTCATAATCATATGGTATTGTTGCATTACCACTAAAACGAAAATATTTTGGGCATACTCGATGTTTGTGGGGTTGAGAAAGTAACTGAATAGGAAGGATGAAAATTAATAATTATGAAATATTTGATAACGTGAAAGTTTTATAACACAGTGACTGTAAAAGGTATGTCTACTGCAAATATACCCTGTTTAACTGTCTAAGAATAAAACATATCATTATAGACGGCAATGTTTGAACGTACCTAGATTAATCTAAAATAAAACTGTATACTTAAAAAGTGAAAAAATATTTAAGACTTTAGACGGATATTTATATATTATGAAAAGTATATTGTTTATAAAGAAAGAATAGCACGTAAGCAACTGTATACAATTATTTCTTTTAGGTTTAAATAAGTTTTTTCTAATGTCATAAATTGCTTAGTTTCAACATCAGTTATAAGCCTTTTCTTTTTAATCATGCACGTTAAAGGGATACACAGGCAAAATAATGACAAAAATACAAAAATGATCTTCTGTACTCGAATCATCCTAAAATGACTTTTCCTAAAGTTCCAGCATGAATTTCTGTATAGATTCTATATATTTTGGGGTTGAAGCTTAAATATTTCTATATATGTTGAACGAGATTTGGTCGCCAACAGAATCACCAAATACTTTAAAAACAAGTCATGTGATTTGAACAAACCCTGGAAGTTACTATAACAGGTATTGCAGATATTGTATGATTAAAACAAGTCTAAGTAAATGTTCTTTAACGTTTCCAGAGTACACAGTAACAACTATTTTGAAATCATAGCGCTCTAACCTGACCCACGCGGGTCAAGTTAGGAAAACACCATTTTATTCTTTATATGGAGAAAAGTTTTGTTCTTTTTACTGTTTAGTGTATTCATTTTGATGACATTTACAGAATAATGAATGAAAAATTAAAAACTAAGAAATTAAAAGTTTGCCTGTGTCTCCCTTTAACATAAATTTCTACATCTAAATTATGTTTCTGTAAATAAAACAAGTATACATATATTATGCATATATTGTATTGATATATTCTCATTTGGTAAAATTCTCTCCATCTTTTGTATGCCTGACAATAAATTTATATTCATGATACTTTTATACAGTAGATATATAACATAATCGGACATTATCCTTGATCTTTGTTTCTATTTTTGTTGTTGTTTCAGTATTTCTTTTATATGTTTCTACTTTTCTAAATAAAACATTACTATCAAATAACATTTCTTATTTAGACATATTTTGAATATTCCATATGGTAATATGACTTTTTGTGATGTCAGTGTCGTAAGTCGTAATTAACTGAATCTCATAAACACTGACTGTACCAATTATCAACTCCCTTTGTTCAATACCCTTTTCATCAATTAACCGTGGCAATAATTATTTTACATAAATTTATCTGTTTAAAAGTAAATCATTTAATTCCTGGCTGGCTGGAATAGATACACCTTAAATTAATCAAAGAAGATTAATAATTTCCGTCAAATGTTGCGGTTCAGATCGGAATATCCGTCCCTAGGGGACACGCCCATTTGGCGGTTACGAGGCTATTGTCGCCTTCATCATGAGGTGTTTCTAATAAAAAAGAGACGGTTTTATGAGCTTAATAATTTAATTTATTTTTCTCAATTGCAAATGGATTCATTTAAGAAATAATATATCACAAACAGTGATTTTATCGCTCAATAGAATCATTGTTTGGAGTTTGGATGCGAGGAATTATATCACAAGGGCGAATCTGAAAGACAAACAAGGATTCCATAAAGCGATAAAATCACGATTTAGATATATATAGAAGTGTCAATATATTTTAAATAAATATGTTTAAACCATATATATAATATATACAAGGTTTAAACATATTTGTTTAAGCTCTATTACGAAACAAGCTCTTGCAACTTATATTAAAGGGACTCCACTGAGGTTTTTTTGACATGACGGAACTGGAAATATTTTTTTGAGATTATTACTCCATTTGATGCAGATCTATACTAATTACTTACATGTGCAAAATTTCAGATTCTTAGCTTGCTCCATTTTTCCAGAATAATTATTATAATAGTGAAAAATGACCCAAAATTGAAAAGCGTTTAAACGCTTTACACATAAATCGGACTGAGAATGTCACAAACATATGATTTTTAATGTATTTCTTTAAAAATTTAGGTTATATTTTATAAATATTGATGTTTTAAGTGCTCATGTATATGACTGTGAAAAAATTAAAATTTCATGTTTTACGCTTATAAACCTCAGTGGAGTTCCTTTAACCACTTACGAGTCCGCTTCCTGGAACCAACAAGTACTGGTGTCATATGAAGAAACATGGTCGTGACCCGAGTAGGACTCGAACCCTTGATCTATGGGTTGAGAGGCAGACACCTTAACCACCATAACTATAAATTATTTCGATTCTAACACGACATGGTCATCAACAAATAAATGCTGCCGTATCTGATATTAAGTTTATGTTAGTGTTCATCCGTGCTGTTCTACAGAAATTAGAAACTTCGACGGGAGCGATAGCGACAGGAGAATGTTTCTAATTTCTGTAGAACAGCACGGATGAATAATAACACATTTAGTGTCAAACTTTATTTGGCCTCATTATAAACCAATTTATTACGTCATTACGCGGTTCTATAAAGTGGAATCTAATATGAAAAATAGAAGGCGACTATGATAGTATCGACTTGTTTTCTTCTATGAAAATTAACGCATATCATTTTTAAGAAATACAGCGTTTTCATTGGATGACAAATAAAGTTGGACACTAAGCTAAATTAGGCCTGATTTGTTACCGTACTGTACCTATTATCAGCGCGTCGCATTTTTAGTGGTAACGTCACATGTCTTATGGTTACGTCACATGTCAAAATATAGAACGTCAACAGTGATTTTATTGCATAATAACACACATTTTCTATTCTTCTTTGTTCAATAGGGAAAAGTGCGGGTCTTGTTAAATAGAATAATATCAGTTAACAATGATTTAATTAGTCAACCTTAACGCTATGTTTATATATCGAAAATGACGTCACGTCGAAATATATGCACGGCCGTGCAATACCAGTATTCCGGAGTTGTAAAAGCGGCACAGGTATGTGAAAAATATAAATTATGAATACATTGTTGTAGAATAATGCACGGTTCGAGTAAAAATGCGCAGGAATTAATCACGAAGGCCAATAGGCCTAAGTGATTAATTACAAATCATTTGTACGATAAACCGTGCATTATAATACTATAATGCAAGAAAAAAATAATATCTATTTCCATCCTAACATGAAGGGATAATAAAAAGAGATAAAATGATAAAAATATGCTGAACTACATGTAGAAGTAATTTTCCTGACGTCATTTAGTTTATAGACGTCATAAAGCGTGTAAGCCTTCGGTTATTTTTGTGCTGTTCATATATCGTGTAACAATGCACTTGTTTGATAGGCGATTATTGTGAAGCGTGTTAGTTTCAATTTTTTAAAATCATTTCTCTTCATATTATTATTTCTAACAGAAACCTTTTTCCTTTTTATAAAGTTGTATATATATGTACTTATGAATGAAATATTGAAAAATATTGATGAAATAAGATGCGTATTTTCATTTATCCGTATTTTCACTGATAAAATTTATTTTTCACTGCAGTGAAACATATTTTCCGTATTTTTTCTGGTACCTTGCCAGACTACTTTCTTCTTATTTCAGCCAATACAATTTACACAATTAAACAAGAAGTCTTAAGAATTGTAAGGTCAAATAGAGAAAAATTATATATATAAATTCTTAAGTTCTTTTTCTATAAGCACAGGATTTATTTTCATATTGTCATCACAGGTAAACGTTGCGTGGCCATGACTTACACTATACCCCCGTTCCCCCTCTACAACCCAAAACCCTAAAAAAAAATTCTGAAAAAAAAATTTTTTTTATGACTAAAATATTGTAAAGGTATTTTACTCTACTTTCATTTTGCATAGAAATATCACTAGCATCTCAATTATCAGCGCATATATTCATCAATTTTTCACCGATCTTAACAATCTTGGTGTCAAATCTTAGACAAATGAATACTTTTTAAGGAAACAACACTGACACCTTCGCTGATTATACGTAGCAAGAAATATTCAAGTCAAAACTGTCAATAATTCTAACTCGGAAGAGATCTGATTGCACCGTTTTGGTAAAACATTCACGACTAAAACACTCTAAATTCATAATTAATGCACAAATTGCAGCGGCAGATGTTTCAAGTCTATCAAATACAATTACGCTCCGTACTTAAATTATCTATAAATCTATTCACGTAAAGAAACGAACCTGTTTTCTCAGCGGTTTGTTTTCAATCGTCCTGCAGCAGCCATGCCAGTACAATGCGCATGCTCGTGGAGATTTGTAACACAACGTCTCATTGGTCAACGACGGAGGTGTGTCTGGGCCCGGCTCTATCTACTATAAACGTAAGTACACACACTTTTGCCGGTACAAAGATTGGCGGAAAATTTAAGACTGCATGCAAATCGTGAAAAAATCTGTCTTTGATAAACTGATATAACTTACTATTAGTTATTTTAAAAAAACATTGTGTGGAGTCTTCAAAAGTGAAAATGTCTGTTGTTACCTGGTAAAATCCATTTTTACAACTTTAACACAGTTATTTCATATTTTTTATAAAAAAAAGTTACTGTCTTATATTTATGTTATTTATTCACATTGCTCACAGTAGAAATGTTCATCTTTTTTGTTAAATTTTTTTCCATCTAAGATGATGTTGAAGCCCAGCACATTTGCGATGTAACCAACCATTACAACCGTCACAATTAATCCATTGTGTTTGTGAAGGAGCCGTATTCTGATTTAAGTTACACACTTGACAAGATGTTTCTTCATCCGAGTTTTCTGACATTTCAAAATTATCAGCCTGATCTTTAGGCTTTTCAAGTGGAATTTCAATGTTTATATGTTCATCATCACTGCTTGATATTTCACTAGTTTTTTTAATTTTTCGTCTCCTTTTTGGTCTTGATGAACTACATGTTGGTTCAATGATAGGTATGCTACTGTCATTTGAAGTGGAAGGCCTTTCATCATCATTTTGTGATCCTTTTTGAGCTTTAGATTTTACTTTGGACTTTTCTGAAACCCGGGACCTGTTTCCTATGAGCCATTTTCTTTTCAATACTAAAAGCGTCTAAGACATCTTTCCTAAATTGATTCACCATAACCATTAAGTATATTTTGATGATTTTCTTGTAGATATTTTTGACCACATTGTTGTCAGAATGTTGGACATAATTTTCACCAAGGTCTTGATTAATTGCCCTGCACTTGTCTACAACACTAAAGAATTCATTATACAATTCAGAACTTTCCAAAATTTTATTTTTTATTTCCTCGAACAGATTGCTTCCATATTTATTCATGTTTTCATCCACTAAAAGTTGTAGACATTTTTCAGTCAGTATCTGGAAGAACTGGAAAAGATCATCAGGTATATTGGTAAGTGATCTATTCAGTCCCTGCTTTCTATTAACATCTAATAGGGACTCTGGTTTTGTTGTGGTAGCTAATAAATAGTATTCTTCAACTTTTATAGAATCTAAAATATCCACTGCTTGCAAGGACTCATTATATACAGCTTGGCCGCTTTCATCTACTTTATACATATAGCTCTTTTTCTTTTGCATATATTTATTTCTTACTTTAGCTATACAATAGCCACCTACATATCTTACACGTGCTTCAGAAGCATTTGTAATAATTCTATCAGAAATCTTTCTTTTTCCTACAGGAAACAATTCTGCTTTCTTTTTCAAAAGATATGTCCTAATTTGGTTGGATATATTAAAGCAGATGTGAAGGTGGTCTTCAGTACATTGCATGCTTTCAAAGAAAGTTAGGCAATTCATTCTAAATTCAGCACTTACTTGGTAAGCATGTACTTTAGTGTAAAATTCAGTCTGCAGCTTACTTGGTACAGATTTTGAAGGATCAACATCTAACTCCTCAACAAAAGATGACAACTTTGCATATTCATGTTTACAGAACTGTATGTACTTCGCATGATCAATTTCTGTCAGGATTTTGTTGGTATTGTATTGCATTGGAGTTTTCACAATCGTACATTTAATGCCAGTCAAAATTCCGTCTAAATCCAAGTCTGTTGGAAGATTTACTGATTCACTCTGTGTTTCACATATCATTTTGATAACTTCATCAAATTCACTGTCGAATTCCTCTGAACTTTCTTGTTCATCAAGCTCAGTAAGTTCATCAATCATAATCATGTCATCAACAGTCAAATTACCTGCACCTATGCCAATAGGTTCTTCTAACCTAAAATGAAAAGATATTTTTCAACATTTCATTTAAAAAAAAAAGTTTTGATTGATGTTTTCTTATACATTTATTTTTTATCAAAGTGAATTATTAAACTTTCTATAAACTGTATAAGTTTGTTTATTCAAACTTATTCTTATTCCATAAATAAGTTCATTTTCTATAGTGTTATTTTATTTGATTTCTTTTTTTATTAAACATAACCCATTATTTGTATTATATTTATACCTGAAATGTGTGTATAGACATAAGCATATTGAAGCCACAACTAAACAGCTCTTATTAACCTATAGATATTGTGTATGTATATCTAACAATGTGTATGTTGTAATAAATGTTCTGTTCTGTACTAGCTAGAGCTAATTAGTAAATTTAGATAGATAACATAATCATTTAATTTATTTTACATCTATACATTTTTAAAAAAGTATTGTAAAAGGTTGTTTTGGGCATTAGCACAATAAATCTCAAATAAGGTCTATAAATAACATTGCTTATCTGAAAGGGTGTTCATTGAAAAGTTCCAGGTAAAACAGCAATCAATCAACACCATTATCAGACTGTACTAATGTACAGCCCAACCATTGACTACACTGGACCAGCAGGCTAAGGGGTAAATTAACTACAAGCAAATAATGTATAAAGAAATCCAACTGTGTACATTTTGTCTTTTCAATCGAAATAAATTTCATCAGGACATTTGTATGTATGTGTCTTTAAAATGGGTATATTAAAATTAACTTGGTACAAATATTCACCATAATAAGACAATGTGTCATGCGCAACACCCAGACTCCTACCCCCAGGGTCAATGTCACACTTACAGTTAGGGGGAGGTTGGTAACTCTGATTCATATTAAATTTACATTTACTTTTTTTATGTAAATACTTTTAAGGTCATAGTTATTATAAACTTGTAAACAATGCATAGTTTCAGCTCTTGTATCATCAGTGTAAGGGAAATAACTTCAATTAAACAAAGTGAAGAAAAATCCCTTTAATGATATCAATGTAAATGTTAATACATAATAATTTTAAATTAGTATTTATCTCTGTGTTATATTCTAAATGTACATTAAAGCAATCTCAAATAAAATGAGCTGCGTCCCGACAAAACCAACATAGTGGGTTTGCAACCAGCATTAATCCAGACCAGCCTGCGCATCCGCGCAGTCTGATCAGGATCCATGCTGTTCACTATCAGTTTCTGTACTTGTAATAGGGTTGGTAAGCGAACAGCATGTATCCTGACCAGACTGCGCAGATGTGCAGGCTGCTCTGGATCCATGCTGGTCGCAAACCCACTATGTTGGTTTTGTCATGACACGGCTCAAATAAAGAATAAAAATTGAAAATCATTATTATGAATATCTTATTTTTTTGTCAACTATAATAAACAAAAATATGTTATGTTTTTTTTACATTTACAGGTCTAACCAGCTGGTCAGTTTTGCACTTTAAAAAGATAGAATATTATTTTGAAAAGCAAAAACATTATAGTTTTAATCAAATCTGTTTAAAAGATCACTTGTATTCAGCAAATATCAGTGTTAGTTGACCATTAATTTAAGGTTCCTATATAGTGCATTTCAAATACTAACTCATTTATATGAAACTTTGGACAGTGGTATTTGTATTCATGACTAGTGCAGACCAAGATTAGCCTGCAAATGTTTTCAATTTTATCATGATCTGCACTTTCTGACATTTATTAATTATCTTTTTGATAGAAGAATATGTTATCTGTAAATGGTACAGTGCAATAGGCAAATTGAGAGGTTTTAATGTTCAACTTCCTTATGCTACAAGTTTTTCACTCTCCTATTAGTGGTCACAAATATTGATATAACTTTAGTTCAAATACTGAAGAGGTGTTTTAACTCAAAGAATATTTTATTTATATAATTACAGGCTTTTGCCCCGGGTTAATGAAGACAGCAGTGGAAGTGTGGAGGTCAATGACCTATATGATGCTTACAAGTTTGAAATGGAAGAGTGTGGTAATAAAAACATTGCCTCAAAACGTGTGCTGGTTGACCACATTATCAAAATATATCCAAATGTTGAGAAAAAAAGGATTCAGATGTCAAGAAAGTCAACTTTGACACAGTACACAGGAATAATAAAGGTACCTGTTGATATGAATATCCATGAAAATGTGAATATTGTAAAAGTAAAGGACATTCTTACTAAAAGTGGAGATGACATTAAAATTATTGAAGAAAAATCAAATGTTGTAAAGTGTTGTATTGATACATTATGCAAAAGTAATGGTAATTGCATTCTCAAAGTAATTACCTTCATGGATACTGGTGAGTGGAGGTTGGATATAAGTGACCAAAATGTTAATCTTAACCAAATTATGATAGCAAATACATATCAATCAGACACAAAGGGAATAAAAACTGTACTGACTGCTGCCAGAAAGGTGAATTTATGTGAAGGAGTGCCTGTATCCAAAAATGTTATAATGACAAGATTTCACATTCTTGAAAATTGGAGATCAGGGGAGAGCAGCAAAAGAATTCTGAGATCAAAACTGTGTAGCAGAGTTATTACATTTAATGCACTCAATAGTACTTGTATTAAATGCCAGAAGATGACATTGATTCATGAAAACAACGAGGATAAGGAAAACAGCAACAACTCAAACACAAAGACATTACCAAATGTAAACAATACTGTGCAAACACCACAACAGTCAACTAATAATTGTGTGAAAGAAGACATTAAAAAATTAATTCCATGTGCAACTGATGAAATGGTTGAACTAATATTAAGTCAAGCCAATAATGTATGTAAGGATCCAAGGGGTAGGCGCTGGACAGAAGGTATGATTAATGTTTGTTTACAGTGGTACTGTAAAAGTCCACAGGCATATGAAAATTTCAGAGCAAGCAAATATCTTGTGTTACCTTCCAAATCTACATTGATACAGTACAAAAACCGAATAAAACAACATACTGGCTTTGACAACAACATATTTGATTGGATGTTTGAAGAAGCCAAAAGAAGAAGCATACCAGAAGAAGGTTACACTGGCGGCATTATTATTGATGAAATGTCAATTCAGGCAGACATACAAATATGTAAAAATAATGATGTTATAGAGCTTGCTGGGTTTATGGATGTTGGGGGGGAAGGCATATTTGTCATACAATGAGAAAAGGAAAAAATGAGAAAGTCTTAGGTACCCATGCATTACAGTTTGTTTTTCTTGGTATAAATGGTTTTCGATTTCCGTTTGCTCACTTTATATCAGATAATGTTCAAGCGCCTGAGCTGTACCCATTATTCTGGGAAGCTGTTGATCGCCTTAGTCAGTTTGGCTTTAAAGCTGTTTATACATGCATGGATGGTGCACAAAGCAATAGAACATTTATGCATATTAATACAAGTGCAGAGAAGAATTTTACATGTAACTGCCCATGTACCTTTGGACAAATGATATTTATTATGGATTGCAAACATGTAATAAAGAAAATTAGAAACAATGTATTAAAAAGTGGCATTTTCAAGACATCAACCAGATTATTGACACTACCAAATTCAGATTCTGTTCAGTGGCAGATGTTTACTGACTGTTACAAATGGGATAAATTAAATGCATTTCAACTACATCGAAAGCTTACAAATGATCATATATACCCTACAAATCAGCTAAAAATGCGCAACCATTTGGCAGAAGATGTCCTGGATACAGATATGTTGCATCTTATGCTTCAATATCAAAATAGTCTTGGGGCTAAAGGTTCGGTTTTAAATGGCACAATTGAATTTTTGAGACATACTTCTAAATTAATACAAATCTTCAAGGATATGCGTGCTTTAAAATCATTGGATGATCCTAACCTTGAAGAATTACTGAAAGTTGCAAAATGGTTTGAGGATTGGAAAGTTAATTCTTTGTCAAATACTTCCATACCTCCAAAGGATAGACAAAGGCAGATTTTGTCAGCACAATGTCATGAAGATATTCAAGCCTGTATTATTGGCTTTTATCAATTAGCAAAACAACTTCTAAGTAAGGCAACCAAAATTTACATCACTCCTGGTCTCATAAACTCTGATGTAATTGAAAATACATTTAATCAACAGAGGTCAACATACCATGGTGCCAACTCTAACCCTAATGCTCAACAATATAGACAAGCATTGAATAGTATTGTTTTGGGCCAAACAACAGTGTCACAGAAAGCCAATGCAGGGAAAAATCGATCTGCAGCTATTCCTTATAATTGTACCTTAAGCAAGCAACTGCCAGCTCAAAAAAGAAAGTCTGAACATAATGACTATGTGAAAATCAAAGTTATCCAGAAGTAAATTTACCTGTAAATATGACATTGTTTGTCTCATTTTACGCCTTTTCCCGACAGTATTTCAGTCATATAGGCGGGTGTTATCTAACCATCATTCCTGGAGAGTTACACCAGTACTAGACTACCTTCCTTCGTGCTAAACTACTAAAGCATCTCCCAGGGATAGAACCCTTGCCAGAGAGGTAAATGGATTAGAAGTCATCAACTTTAACCCCTAGACCACGGAGGCGGTCAGAAATGACATATTGTCCTATAGATTATATGGAATATGACTATCAAAATTATCATGACATTCTCAACCGTGAGTAGCAATATGATGTTCATCTGAATATATGTGCATATCCAGTACCTAATATACTTAACCATTTATGACAATCATCTTTTGATGTCACCAGAAATCCTGCATGGAATACACACTGTACCAAGGTACCTGATGACTCCTGGGCTTTGAACTTTGGTAAGTGAACAATTTTAAAAATACATACCTTTGTTGTTTATTGTTGCAACAACTTCTATCCTCTTGAAAGTCAGCAGATACTTTTTGCATGAAATTCATGACACAAGCAGGTTGTGAAATTACACTTTTCTTTACATTAAAGTTTATCACTCGTAGACCTTTTGTTTCTCGAGCCCGTCCAAGAGCAACTCCCAATTGTCCTGGCTTGAATATCTGACGACAGTCGATCTCCAAACTGTAACAAATTAAAATAAAGATACTTTTTTTTATTTATTACTTTTTTCTGACATTCATTCAAAAAAGAAAGAAGTAGTATTAATAATGTAAATAAAAAAGTGCTTTAAACCTTTTTCACTTGTGTAACTTAATAAAAAAATGGCTTATAAATATATTAATGCTTATGAATTTATACATAAATCTTACTCTTGTTACTGATTTGAATCAAATTGGCATGTTCTTGTTGATCAATGGTTATGGTTGTAGGCACCAATAAATTGTTGATCAATATTTATCAATAGTATTGTAATTTTGGGAAATAATTAATTTAGAAATGGTTAAAAAATTAATACTGTACCTATCCAGTGTTAATCCTTGTGACTTGTGTATGCTCATTGCAAAACTCAATTTTATTGGAAACTGAATTCCTACGGCCACATCAGTGTTTCGGGATGGACTAAAAACTGAAAAAAAAAAGATCACATTTAATTTTATACTGAAACTCATAATTTCCCATAAGAAAAAAAATGGTATATAACTGACTTTTATCATATTTTATTATTGAAGTTATTATAGTTCAATAATAAATATCTTTTATTTTCCTGAAAGAAATGAAGCCAAAGTCAAATTTACCTTACTATGGTTGATGATGTTCATTAATAATAATTAAGTTAAAGACTGTATGCAGAATGTGCATGAATAGTTGACAAGGCTAAAATGTCACAGTTTAATGTGACTATGTTTTCAGTCTTAATACATCAGATAAAGATACATACCAGAAAATCTAAACCTTTCTAGTGGCACTTTAACGTTCAAAGATGGAAACTCCACTACCGGTCCTGTTTCGCTGATGTCATATATATTACCACGCAGACCATTAACCAATTTATTGGATAGGTTACGAAGCAAAATAACTGGCGCACCTATTTTAAGCCACAGTGTTTTTGGAGCTAATATCTTGTTAAGGTGCTTCTGATGGCCTTCATCTGCAGAGCGAAATTCATACAACTGACCAGGAAAGTCAATTATTCGATTTCTGTTATATACATCCACTTGCTCATTTCTTGCAAATAATTTTATAGAGTCAGTGTCACAAGGCAATGGTCGAGTTAACCCTTTCATAAAAACTTCTGTTTCTATACTGACGATTCCATTCGCAATCTCCTGAATGGCTTTTATCAATTCTTTTTCTGTTTGCCGTATTACTTCAGTCAGTTTAACTCTGTGAGGCAAAATGTTTTCAAACAATTCACTTGTAAAACAAAAATCACCTTCTTCTCCATACATCTGGTTTGGAACTGGTGGCAGCTGTGTAAAGTCACCTGACAGTATCAATTGAATACCACCAAAGAAAAGCTGTGGATCCTTTAATTTGCATACTTCATTTAAAGATTCGAACATTTTTTTGCTTAACATGGAGCACTCGTCAATTACCAGTACATCCGTCTGGGTTACCCTATTCTTCACTTCAGTGAACTGGACATTATTTTCCACCACATTTCTAATCTCTGATACAACGTGCCTACCATCACCGATGCCTGACCACCTGTGTACTGTCGATGCATTATCGTACAAGCAGCATGCAATCCCGGTTGTAGCAGTAAGTGCTACACGCTTGCCCTCATTTTGTAAGGCCTGAACCCATTTTTTTTTAATATAAACCCCTTTTCCAGTACCCGCTGCCCCAAGAAGAAATAAATTTGTGACCACTTAAAAAAATGGTTTTTGCGCCTTGATTTGTGCAGTTTTTGCTCCATCTTTTGTTTTGGGTTTACATCATGTGTGCAAATCATGGTTCCTGTTTTTAACCCAAATCTATACTAAAAACCGGGGCCCCGAAAACACCTCCGTCGTTGGGCCAATGGACGTTTGTGTTACAAATCTCACGAGCATGGGCATTGGGACTGGGAGGCTGCTGCAGGGGCGATTTTTAAAACAAAAACCCCTGAGAAAAAAAGGTTTTTTTCTTTACGGAAATAGATTTATAAAATTTAAATTTTAAATACGGACGTTTAAATTTTATTTGAAAAGACTTGAAACCCTCTGCCCCTCAATTTTTCATTAATTATGAATTTAGAGTGTTTTAGTCGTGAATGTTTTACCAAAACGGTGCAATCAGATCTCTTCCGAGTTAGAATTATTGACAGTTTTGACTTGAATATTTCTTACTACGTATAATCAGCGAAGGTGTCAGTGTTGTTTCCTTAAAAAGTATTCATTTGTCTAAGATTTGACACCAAGATTGTTAAGATCGGTGAAAAATTGATGAATATATGCGCTGATAATTGAGATGCTAGTGATATTTCTATGCAAAATGAAAGTAGAGTAAAATACCTTTACAATATTTTAGTCATAAAAAAAATTTTTTTTTTTTTTAATTTTTTTTTAGGGTTTTGGGTTGTAGAGGGGGAACGGGGGTATAGTGTAAGTCATGGCCACGCAACGTTTACCTGTGATTGTCATATAAAACCTTGTGGCTACCGCAACTCGTGAAATATTTAGATATTTATTTTCATACCACTCGATGAAATCAAATTCTGTGTTTTTAGAAAAAAATCTTGAATATCCTCCATATATGACTAATTTTACTATGTAGGAAACTGTTATTAGCTACGTATATTCGGTAAAACTTAAGGTAAAGAATGATGTTTAGTTTTCTAAATATACATACCATAATCTTGTGTACGACAATAATAATTATACCGGTGTAACACAAAGTGGTGTATAGTTGCATGCTTCATGAAGGCGCCATTTTGCCGACTGTAGATGATTGCGTCGTAGGCGTCACTCATTACACACAATAAAATAACACTACTAAATGAAGAGCAATAGTATATATGTTTCTCTCAAAAAGTAGGCAAACTCTAGAAAAGTTAGGTTAGTCAAATAAGTGCCCATGTTAAAGTCAAAATGTATTTGTCTTAAAAGTACATTCTGATTTTATAATGGTTATTCATAAAAAAAACTATTGCATGTATCTACTACGCAAGAGTGTCCTGAAGTCTTTATAGCTACACGCCTCCAGATTCATGTAAATTTTCATAAATAGTTTAGAAATGTATTCTAAAGTAAAATAATGTGTGGTGAACTACATATTGCAATCGGCACTTATACTCCACGAAAATTACCAAATAGTGGTCAACATATGCAGAAACAGCCCTTACTGCGTTAGTAACGCAGTAGAAATATCGTGATAAAATACTGCAAAATCAGTGTTAAATTGCACATAACCTAATATAACATAACTTTTATTCGACATTAAAATTGTAACAACAAAATTATAGTCGATTTACATCAAATAGTGCAAAGTGTAAAAGTGAGACACGTGATTTCCTAACCTAGAAATACTCGTATATACTAGTAAATCTTAGCGTTTCTGTTTCGCACGTACTGATTTATTAATAATGCATAGAAACCGCGTGTCCATTTAATGTCATCATCCATTTATGTATAAATAAACTATGAAATATAAATAAATAGATACATATTTTTTTTTTTTGCATTTTCGCATTGAAATTATTTACACAATATATTGTATATAAGTATCCCGCGTCATGTCAGTTTGACTTTTTTGCGACGATTTGTACTCTACACAATCCAGCAAATGTAATGCAACACGCACATACGCCAACGAAATATCAGATATATATTTGCAGAAATGAATTCAAAAAATGTCTCTGGGGCAATCTCAGTTGCGCTGGCCAGTGAGTTTCCGGTGCCAAGCGAGTGTCTCTATAGATGATTACCCCTGAGAAGGCTTAAAGCAGCAGGACTCCAGAAAAACTGCTTTCGGACTAATATTTCAAAATCCGTCATTAAAATCATTATATATAGTTTAAAGAAATGGAAATTACACTTAAAAATGTTTATATTTTAACATTCTTTCTCTGAAAACAAACAGTTTGCTTTTCCGCTTCATTTGAATTCCTTCATCGGGTTTTCTTTTCTTTTATTTATTCCCTGCGGTCTGGAGACCGCAGGGTACTGGTACGCGTTTAACTTTTGAGGCATGGAGGAGCACGTGACCTGTTTTCGGTACATGGAGGAACATGTGATCTGTAAACAGTACATGATTGGTTAATTGACCTTTTCGAAAACCTAGCTAAATACCGTTTGTAGGTACGTTACGGATTTACCTCTAGGGAATTACACCTAATTAAGAACAAAAAAAATATAACATGATCTTTTTTTTATAATTGTTTTACCGTGGAAAAACTTGAATGGTGTGTTTGAAAATTATCAATGTTTCTCTAATATCTATCTCAAATTTTACAAACAATAAATTGTTTATACTGAAAATCTACAAAATTAAAATATTCGTTGTGGCATCTGCCATAATAAATAGAGATATTTTCTGCCTAAACTTGTGTGTTTACTTTAATTTACTTTGCTCGGAATAATTCATAAAATGGTAGGCCTATTTAATCATTTTCTTAAAAAGAAATAATTTTTTTATGTACGACCTTCTCCAGTCTTCAACGGTCACCAGTTTCCAAAGACCTTCTTCTATTTTGATCGATTATTGTCAACCAAACGTATATTTATCCCCCAAAGAATGTTGAAAATAGTTAATTGAAATATCTTGATATCATTAAAAATGTTCCCCGCAGGAAATCATTTTACTTGTTTATTCTAGTACAGTATCGCGACCATGGTGTGATCCGGAACGCACGGAATCCGGGATCGTATCAAACATAGAGAGTAACGAATAAACTGCTTTGGTTTTGATATCTACAGTATTTTGTGGCACTAAAGTTATAATTGATTAATTTTATAATATATATTATGGCCAATACATCGATTTAAACTTTAGCTAGAATGTAGCTGCCAAAGGAAACAGAACACTGGGATTTGTGAGGAGAAACTTGAAGGATTGTACACCACAACTGAAAGCAGCAAGTTACTGCACTTTTGTACGCCCAGGTCTTGAATATGCAGCAACGGTTTGGGATCCTCATCTTCAGACACACATAGATTCACTTGAGCAGATCCAGAAAAGGGCAGCCAGGTTTGTCAAAAATGACTATAAATCCAGAACACCTGGATGTATGACAGAAATGCTGAGGAGCCTGGATTGGAATACCCTCCAACAGAGAAGGAAGGAAGCAAGGTTAGGCATGCTCTACCGCATTCAACATGACCTAGTAGACATCCCCAAGGACAAGTACCTACCACTGAGTAACCAATCCAAGAAGAACACCAGTGACAGTAGAACACGTATACGTTTCTACCAAGAACGCACCACTGGCAGGATGTATACAAATACCTTCTTCCCCAGGACAATTGTTGATTGGAATGGCCTGGCATCAACAGTCACCGCCGCGGAAACATTGGATGCTTTCCGCGCGCGCCTGCCGGCCTCCGTCTAAATTCACCTCACAACGTCTCTGTAAATAAAGTTTTTATCAGTTTTTACAACTTTTATCACTGAGAGGAAGAGTGTTCCATCTCACCGTGTACATAGTTTCGCAGAGCCTCATTACGTTCCTTTTGGATCTCGGCTCTTATACTGGAAGAAGAAGAAGAAACATTATTAGATCCTACTCATTGACGTAAATTGAAATACGACCCCGGGCGGGATTTTTTCCTAACCACTGTTGTGACACGTGACCATGTTTAATGAATTATCTTCTCCTGTTTATATTGCCTACTGCGTTAGAAACGTTGTAGATTATGCAAAGAAGAAAAACGATATATTGATGCTTTTGTCAACATTATTTCTTGTATTAAGATGTCAGTAATAATAGATTTATACAATTAACCTAACTAAATCATAATTTACAGTTTACTTGAAATTTTATCTCAATTTTCTTTTCATTTTACCATCTGGAGGCGTGTCGCATTAATCAAAAGCTTATCCCCAATTTTCCAGGACACATTGAAAACATTTAGGCTGTCATTTTTTGACAAATGCATACTAAAAAATAAAAACAAGTTTTCCTATCCTCAAAATGATATGCTTTATCTTTATAATTTGTTAATTTCATGGGAAATAGATAACAAGGCGTATATCTTTAATTTAAAATATATTATCATTTTCAAAAAGAATAAGTGACAGGCTAGTAAATGTAGACACTCTTTAGCGTAAGTTTTTATCTATGTATTAATTTTATTTATTTATTTATTTATTTATTTATTTTGAGTTTTTAAGCCAGCTGTTCTTAAAAATGCCTGTAATTTTCATTAATGTTGGGAAATATTTTCTTTCGGTGTAATTTCCCTTCTTTATATATTTGATAAAGCCAATTGCTGTCACGTCCCGGTGATGTGATGAACCTGAGAGATTCGTGAAGAAAATTGAGTGTGTTTATATCTTCCTTGCAATGCCAGGAACCAGACCCTGTTTGGGTCACAGTTACAGTACATTTTATCACGGTGGAATGTCCAGGAAATTCTACGGTTTCAGTTGTACCTTCCGACTCTAATCCCGCTGGCACTACGATGTGTCCTGGTGTGTCCCGGTAATCCACGGCTAAGTCTCGGCCAACAACTTTACGGTGAGCCACGAATGTAGGACGGAAAAGATACCTTACTGCACAAACAGAAATTTATGACAAAAAGATCAGTTGTGTTCCTCTGTTAGTTAACTCTTAGTATGCTAACGGCCATTGATTCTACTTGTGTGACAATTGTAGACAAAGATCGGCATGTGAAAAATATTTGGGGAAAAAAATGATCGAAATGTTCAGCAAAAACTCTCATCTTAGTCATGTATCCGTGTAAAACGAGTGTTGGTATAAGAAATTCATTGAACACACCGGATTGGAGAAGTACATCTACACAGTTGTCACAAAAACAGAAAAATATCGGGTTTTGTTTTTTTTTTTGTTGTTGTTATTGCTTTTTGTGTTTTTTTTTTTTTTTAATTTCATTCATTCGACGATTCGTATATTTTTCAATAATTATCATATTTGAATCGGTGTGAAGAGATGAATATGTCGTCTTTAAGATATTTACCTTTCCATACTCAATTGGTCTGAAAATATATTTGTTGACAGTTATTAAGTATGCATAGAAGTAAAATTCATGGTTTTTACGAGATAACTGTGACCTAACGGTTCTTGCCCCATAATCACACCCGTGAACAGTTAGACAGCTTGATGCAGTAAGAACTTGCTATATAAATGCCATTTTTAAACTGGATTAGCGATATATGTTCTTCTTTGTGTCTGTTTTTATACACATAATTTTCTATGATATATTGTGCAGCAATCCATTGTTCCTGTTCTACCCGCAACCAACTGATCTTCTTGCAACCAGTGTGTTTTAATTGAAGTCAATATTTACAAAATAAAACTTTGGAGCAATTTAAAATTACAGCATCATGAACATTGCAAAAACATTACTAATATGCTTTTTTTCATCGAACAAGACATGTGTTAATCACATAGTTCCATATAAATGTCCGAATTGCAGTGTATGGGATACAGTGCATTTTGATAGACGATAGTCTCATCATAGGAAAACTCGTGCTTTTGGAAATTTTCAAAACGAGGCGTGAATATAGCGTCTATTTGATAATTGGACGTTTCGTCCACTTTTCTTGCCAATTCTTAGCTGTATGCACCTGAATATTTTTAATTTGCCAAGGTGAACAATTTCTGCGGAAAATATGTAACTTATTGTCTTCTATACCTTATTGTCTTTGAGCCAAGCAGATCGGATTCAGAAAAAAAGTTCTCTCAAGTTTTGGACCCGTCGAATATGATGGTCTCTGAAATGCGTAGATAACACAACTTTGGGCATTTTATTGTAATTCTTGAAGCGTAATACTAACACATGAAAGTCCAAG